CTTTCGCCGCGGGCATTGTTGCCGCGCTCCAACCCCGCCCAAGCACAAGCTGGGTCCCAGCTTTCCCGTGCGGGTCGGCCCGGCCGCCGCCGAGTGTTCCGCTTCCGCCGCGGACCCCCTTTTTCCTGGGTCGCGGGCTCCTCAATCGGTTGATGCACGCCCTCAACGGGAACATCAACGGCTGGTGGGGCCTGGCGGCTGCAGCGTCGGCGCCGATTGCCTTGCAGTTGCACCGCGGGGTTGTGCATGTTGTCGAAGACTCCATGCACGCGGTTGCAACGGTTTCGGCCGACGTTGTTGAGGAAATCGGCCATGGGGCCAGGCGGACCGTGTGGGTCGCCGGAACAGCCATCACTCTGGTAGTAGTGATCTTGTGCGGTGCTGTTCTGTGGTACGTGAGTCGTGCCGTGGCCAATCGCATTGCGCATTTGCGACATGGCAACACCGCGGCCCCTGAGGCGCGGCTGTCTCAGCTCCTTGGCTCCGAAGCGACGTTTGAGGTCGCGAGCACCAAGAAAGGGGTGACCCATAAGGTTTGGGTGCATCTCAAGGAGGAGACAGCTGCCTGTGGCTGTCGTGCTTACCTGGCAGAAGGACGCTGCGGGCATTGCGATGCCGCAATGGACACCGCTCGTTCCTTAGGGTTTTTGCACGCGGCCCAGCGAGGCGCGGGTCCTGCGCTCACAGACTCCATTCGGAGTACCGCCTCCGATGCCCTAGCTAAGGGTAAGGTGGTGTTGGGTTTGGGGAACAGTGAAGGGTGTTTCTCCCAACTCGCGGCCAAGAGCCGCGGGCTCTCCTGCTTTCAGGGGCTCGCGGGTCGTGACCTGGCCGCGGCCCCAGCAAATGGAGCGAGCGCAGCCCACGCACAGTCCGGCTCCGTGCAACGTGCCGCCACTGCCACTGTGGCGTGCACGCCAGGCCGGAGGAACAAGGGCCCAGCCCCCGCTAGGAGTTCTCCAGTCAAAGAAGCGGAATTCCTTGCGGGCGGGCCATACATTCAGGCCGCCCAAACGCTGCTTGGGTCTGGAGCAGCAGAGGATGTGATCTACATCCGGGCTTACAGCTTAGATTGCCCATCCTGCATCGAGGCAATCGAAGCGTCGCTTGGCAAGGGCGCAAGCGTTCGGATTGTCGCCGACATGGGACAATGCCACCGCACCAAGCTCCAGTGGCAAGCGTTGAAACGCTTGGCGGCCGCAGGTGCCGAGGTGAAGGTGGGTTGCGGCACATCCTTGCGCGACGCCTATGCTCGCGACGGCCGCGGGGCTAAGGTAGGCACCGGGATTCAAGGGCTGCACCATGCCAAGGCCCTTTGCCTACTGCGGCCTAACGGCGCGGTGGTGCTGATTGGGAGCCTCAATTTTACCACAAGCAGCAAAGCCAATGCGGAGGCAGGGCTTAAGCTTGAGGTCCCCAAGACGCACCCTGTCGCGCAGTCCTACGTCGAGGATTTCCAGAGGGTGTCGGCTGAGGCATTCTCCCTCGATGAGGCGGTTGCAAAGCGCCCTCAGTTGGAGCGAGCCAGTAGCTCCAACGTTGCTGGCAACGCCACTCGTGCCCCCAACACTGCTCCTCAGGGTATCGAGTAGGCTGCGGCCAGTTGGCGCGGCGTGGTATGTATCCACGCATTATCAGAGCAGGCGTCGCAGCACGGCACGTTGCTTCGCCAACCTTTTGCACTTTCTTTTGCGTGACTGCGGGCAAAAAGCCGCGGCAGGTTGGAAGCCTGCCCATTTTGCATTCCCCGCACTTTTCTTCTCTGCCCTGCCTGTGGCCCCTCTTGTCGAGGGTGCTCTTTTGCAGGTGCTGCGGACCGTGTCCTGGTCGCGGCAGTGCGCTCGCCGAAGCGCGTGCGAGTTGCACTGGCTGCGGCACAAGCAATGTGCGCGGCGCTCGCTGAGTCCGGTAGCCCGTAGGGTAGTTCTGGATAGGTGAGTAGCCGTAGCCGTAGCTTAGGGCCGGTAGTGTGTACAGTGTACCATTTGTACCATAGCTTTGCACTAGCAGCACAAAGACCTGCCCAGTACTCTGGAGCCTCGCCTGCCTGCACAAAGGTGAGCGCTCGCGACTTGGGGTGGTTTAGGGTCGTAGAGGGCTGCTGTCGTCGTGCGTCCGTTTGGTAGTGCGGGCTGCCGCCCAAGCCGCATGCCAATGCTCATGATGTGCGGGCTCTACCAGGGTCGCACGCGACACCCTCGCCCTACCCCATTTGCCGCGTTGCTGAAGTGCTTGACGCACTATGAGCTCTTGGTGAGCCGGAAGCCTCGGCTGAGGGGCGAATGTGAGCAGGTCAAAGCATGCATGGAGTGCTTGCTTAGTGCTAGTGCAGCGTGTTGTTTTCCTTTGCATGTGTAGTTTTGCAATTCGTAACAATGCCAATGTTTTGGCTCAAGTACCGAGCTTGTGCCTTTGAGCACGGTAGTTTCGTACAGTAGCTCTTAGGTTGCTGTGCGGTCCGACCGGACGCACTCAGGCGTAGCCGCACAAGTGCTTGAACTCGCGAAGTCGTAAAACAGCGTGACCGGGCTGTGATTGCATTGGCTTAGTGCAAGTCCAGTGCTGGTCGACTTCACACTACCCCTACACCTCGACGGGGCCGTGACAGCCTCAATGCCCAGAGGGGGAGTAAGAGACCAAAGGTTCTATGTGGGCCTTGGGCTGCCAGCGTCTTTTAAGTTTTTTTCCCAGAGGATTCGCTTGCGAAGTGGTGTAGGGAGTAGGTCTCCTCAGCTTTTAGAGCTTAGGGAGTGTTTTCCAGTGTCTTCCCGGAGCAGAGAGTAGGTCGCCTCAGCTTTTAGAGCCTAGGGAGTGTTTTCCAGTGTTTTCCCGAAGCACCGTGAGGTTTGACCAGTTTTGACTGCGTTTCACGTTGTTTGGTACGTTGGCTCAAGACCGGAGTATGCGAGCATGCAAAAGTGAGAAGCGTGCAGGGCTTGAGTGTGAGTCTTGTAGGGCTGTGGGTTGCTTGCCGCGTTTTCGGTCCTTTAGGCTTGAAGGGTCTTGGCCCCCGATAACGACAAACAACGACGGGCACGATAACTTATTTGCAGCTCAATGTGCCACCAGCCTCGCTCGTATCAGCCTGCTCGCAGGCGCAACGCCGCGGCAGGATGAGTCCTGCCCCACTTTGCGTTTTTTTTTAATGCGGACGCCCCCTTTACACACCAGCAGCACAGACAAGGGAAAAGCAAGAAGCAATCCAATCCCAAATCCCAAGGCGTAGTAAGGGTCTCCATAGCATGCCATGGCAGGAAACTTGGCACTTTGCACGTCCGGGCATCGGAGACCGCTGAGAAGAGATCCGCGATGCATTGGACGGGTGGTCAGAAACCCATATCCGATGATGGATTTCTGTAGGTTGGTCACTGAGAGTTCCGCAGCTTAGAAGAGAGGTCAAGAAGTTCAAGGACTCTCGAAATTTTGAGACATGCTGGTCACTGCTGCCAACTGGCAGCGTCAACCGGGGTCCTGTCCCACTTGCGTGGCCCGCCACATCTTTTGCCGCGCAGCATTGTGGCCAACGAATCCGCGCTCTTTTGCGTTCAGCTCGCAGACCGTGTCCAGGTTGCGGCTTGGCGCTCATCGAAGCGCGTGTGAGCAGCCAGGCTGCTGAGCCAGGTGGCCTCTGTAGAGGCAGTGCAGGGTAGAAGGGTAGCCGCAGCGTAGCTCTGAAGTTTTCTCGTAGTGTACAGTGACCATAGGTTCTGAGCTAAGCTGCACTAGCACAGCATGGCTCTGGACATAGAGCCTCAACACCGGCCGTGCCAAAAGGTCGGACCGCCTTCCTGGTTTAGGATGGTTGGTCGGTTTGGAGGGTTGCTCGTCGTGGGACGTTGCCGTTCGCGTGTGCAGTGGTTGTGTGCGGGCAGTCGCCTGTGCCGCCTTCCCTGTCGCTTCGCTTTAATGCTCATGTTGCGGGCACTCCCGATGCCGCGCGACGGCTCCCACCCCTCCTTTGCAGTGACACTCACCGGAGCCTCGGCTGAGGGGCGAATGTGAGCAAGCATGAGTGCATGCGCAGCTGCAGCTCGTAGCATTGTTTTCACTTGCATGTTAGTTTTGCAATTCAGTGGAATGCCAATTTTGGCCCAAGTACCGAGCTAGACTTGTGCCTTTGAGCACGGTAGTTTCGTACAGTAGCTCTTAGGTTGCTGTGCGGTCCGACCGGACGCTCTTAGGCGTATTTTGCAGTGAGCGTGAACCCGCGAAGTCACAAAACAGCGTGACCGCCTGTGTTTGCTTTGGTTTAAGGCAAGACCAGGTTGGTCGACTTCACATACCACTAGCACTACCACTACCACTACCACTACCACTACCACTACCACTACCACTACCACCACCACCACCACCACCACTACCACTACCACTACTACTACTACTGCTACTACTACTACTACTACTACTACTACTGCTACTATTACTACTGCTGCTACTACTACTACTACTACTACTACTACTACTACTACTACTACTATTCTATTACTACTATAAAGAGAGACAGGGAGGCAGAGAGAGAGAGAGAGAGAGAGAGAGAGAGAGAGAGAGAGAGAGAGAAAGAGAGAGAGAACCCTCTTGCAATCAAAACAGCCATCTGCAGCTGCGTGCGGTAAGCGTGCCTCTTTCGGAGTTTCTCTTCTGAAGCATCAATAAAGTTTGGGCAGGTCTTTTGAGCCAATTTTTTTGGGATTATTTATATGTTTTTAGTCGTGGGGGGGGCTTGTAATTGAGTTTCGGGATTTCTGCTTTTCCCAGGGGGATCTTCAAGGCCAAGTCAACATTAGGCAGCCTTAGGCAGCGTGCTCTTCCTCGAGCTCCTTGTTCTGCTTGTGAAGTTTGTCCTCAAGGGTGCTTGTTTTTGAAAGACAGGGACAGAATACAGCTCGTGTGCAGAGGTTCTTACAGGAACAGCCTTACACGTTGTTGCAACCGAGCAGAGCTGCTAAAACAACAAGCTATCGCTACGACTTGCAACCTTATGGCCTGCCTGCATGTGATGAATGTTTGTGCCCTCGCTGGCTGGCTGTGTCTTTTGCTTCATTCCTGCTTTCCGACGTGCAGCGGTCTGAGTGGTCTCGCGGCTGAACATGACAGAGGAGATTTGGGCGTGCGTGAGTATCTATGTTGGACAGGGAACACGTCACTGCATTTTGGATCATGTTGTTACGTGAAAACTGTTTCTTGAGCTTCATCATGAACACGTCAGACGTATGATGCGGAGGACTTCGAGCCCGACGAGCTTTGTGGTTATTTGGAGTATTGCAAACTTACTGCTTTGCCGAAGTGTCCGTCATTGCATATCAGCGACATTGCCGTGCCAGGAGTTGCATGGGCAGCAACTTCAGTCGGGGCTTTTCCAAGTCGAAAGTAATGTGCATTTGAATCTCCGGTTTTTGTTCAACGCAATTCTTGACAGGCAAGTGCGTTTGTCAGGCGTGAAAGGCATTGCGCAAACAATGCTGGGCCTTGGAATCTGCATCTTTCGCTCCACGGTCACCATCTTTGTCATCCCGAAGCTAGAAAGCCCGTTGCTGCACCAGGCAGGGCAGCAGCAGGGCAGCAGCAGTTGCTTCATCGTGCATCATCATGCATCATGCATCAGGTTCTTGCGCTTGCAGCCTTTTCCTGCGCAATCTCCTGAGGTGCTTCTAGGTGGCTGGGCTCTGGCAGATGTTCTTCGCTACCTGGCACTGCTAAGAACCTTGCAAGCATTCGGAGTGGAAGTCAGCAACCGATATGCAATATGCCATGAACACCCATGCCATGCATCATTCAGTCCTTGAGACATGTTGAGAGCCTGGATCAGATGCCGTTTGAGATGAGAGATGATTCGTTTGCGTGATAGCCAGATTGGGTGCCAGAGCTGGTTTTGCACGAGTTGCTGTGAGAAACGAGAAGCTTGCAAACAAGATCTACATTCATTGGCCTGAGGCCAGAGGCCCTTCTTCAAGCTGCTCCGGCGTGGGGGTTCCATGGTGCTCTTTGCAGCTGTTGCAGCGGCGGAGGATCCTCGCCCGTGGATCTTAACGGAACTGCACGGCTTGCACGAAGGACTGTAACTGAACCCAGCTGAGTTCAGGTATATTCAACTTGGCTTGTCCTCGAGAGCTTGAGCTTCGGAGCCCGCGAGTCTGCCGGACACGTTGCAAACATTTGCAAATCAAAATCTTGAAAAAGTCGGTGTGACATATCGATGCCAGGTGGATGATCTTGCAAATGTGTGTTACCGCCGTCGGGCTGCCCGTTGGATCCTACCTCTTCTTCATCTCGGCCAAGAAAGTGCATGGAAAAGACTCTGAGTCCACGTGAGGCAGCCTGAAGCAACACACAAGCTTGTTAAGTACCAGGACATCACTTCCTCCCCTTTTCCAGAATATGCTGAGCCTTGGCTTGTCTGAGTTCTTGAGCCCTCGTCATTTTGTCACGTCACATTTTGTGACGCACATGATCGCGCTTTAATATGGATTTGCATGCAGCCTGGTGTTCCGCAGCACATATGACTTTTTGCAGGCTGAAGCGAGAGGGAAGTTAATTAGGAAAGGTGTTGCAGCGAAAGCTACCCAGAGGCAAGCCATGGCAGGTATGCAGGGGGCTGGCAACTCGCTTTGTTTTGACAAAACAGCAGAAGGTGCAGAGAGACTGAGCGCCGAGCCAGAGAGGTTGTTGCAGATTGCAAGCTAAACAGAAGAACGTTCGCGCCCGAGAGATGGCCATCTGTGGACCAGGCCTGGCATCTCTAGGAGAAACAGTCGGAAACGTCGCAAAACTCTCAACTCCTTTGTGCGTTTCCTGGTGGTGTGCTGTGTGTGCATGATTGTGAATGCGCTATATGATTCATATGCATTCCAGTCATGGGAACGACGTAGGCCCCAGGTGCAGGATGTGAGGCCAATGTCTCTGCTCATTGATCACTTGGACTCGGGACCCCTTTGGAACTCGTAGAACAAAAGTTGCAAAGCACTTGGCAGGAAGTGCGCTGATCCAGTTGCTGTACTGGAGTTGCAAGTCCATTTCTTGTGTGTGTGTGTGTGTGTGGGGTCTGTGTGAGGTGTACTCGCGCAAGCTGCAATGGGATGTGGCCCCTATCCAGTGGATATCAAAGTTGGCTGCTTACAGCGCCTCATCCTGTGTGTCTCACGCCCAGGCTGCTGTTTTTCGTTTTCATGAGAGGAGGCGTTCAAGCGCGACTTTCAGGGTGACAAGGTGCCCGGGGGGTGCACACGTTGCAACACATGGCAACACATGGCAACACATGGCAACACATGGCAGACATGCTGGGGCGCCAAGTTGTTTGTTGTTTCTTCGCACCGTTTCGGTTTTTTTTATGCAGGTCGCAGTGCTGGCTCCGCCTCACGGCCATGTCCCTTTGTACAGGCCACTTCTCAGCACTATCTTGCACTTTTTCACTTGCACTCTTCAGACAGGCAACTCTTGCACTTCTCTGCAACTGTCCTCGGCCCAAGCACCAGTGTTGTCAGGCCCAGTCTGCCTGGTGCCCTATGCCGAGGTGCATTTTCTTTGCTCCCATCTACCTTTCTCCCACAGTGGACAATCCCTTTCAGTCATATGCAGAGGCTCCCGTGCAGAGCTGCCAGCGCTGCCCCGTGCTGCACGCCTGGGCCTCCAGACATGTCCAGTTCTCAAAGCTCTCATCAGGAAGGCTTTGGGGTTCTCTCCTGTGGCCGGGCTGCGACGACGGAGCTTGGGCTTGGCTGCTGGGTCGGATGGCGCCGGGAATCCGGGCTCCATGCATGGCTGGGGCGGGAAAGCATGGCTTCCTTACTCCCTTCATGTCTGCTGTAGCTGCGTTGTGCCGGATCCATGGGGCTTGACCCCTTCATGGTTCTCCCTTGTGTTCCCTCTTTGGGTGGGGAATGGTGGGGATGGCTCTCATTGGCTCTCCCAGGATGGGTGTGGAGTATTCTGTGGTGCGCTCTTGATCCACAGCTGTTTTGGTTGGCTTTCCGCACTCTCATTCGGCCCCCTCTTTGGGTGTCCGAGGCTTTGCTTGATCCATGGCTCCCTTCCCTCTTGGGTGAGTCGACTCTTCGGGCTTGACAATATGTTGAAAGCCCATGAGGTGTACACTATTGCCTGCCACCACAGACCCAATTCTCCATCATGGGCCTGAGCTTTTCCTGAGTTGTGTTTTCCAAAGAGTCAAAGCCGGCACTCGAGATGAGTGATGCAAAGTTGCTCGCACCAAGGCTCTTCGTGGCCGCACTTGGAGGAGCTGGTGAGGCCAGCCTCTCCCCCGTCCCTCCTTCCCTCCTTCTCTCCTCTCTGCCTCTCTGCCTCTCTGCCTCTCTGCCTCTCCCTCTCCCTCTCCCTCTCCCTCTCCCTCGCTGCGTCCTCCCCTCTCAGGATGACGGAGGTCCCCATCGGCCTACCTGGTGCAGCGGCTGCACAAGAGAGACCAACGAGGCACACGAGAGTAGTGAGGAAGCGCAGAAAGCGCCAACGTGTGGCTTTTCGGAACCCTCAGTGATGATCAGCGTCTCTCGCGAGGAACTTGAGTCCGGAGCCGGCGCTCGAGGCGCGTGAACGTAGAGTGAACCTGGAGTGCGTAAATCTTGCAGAGCGCAACCATGGGCCTGGCCACTGGCCATGCGATGAGTTTCCTTTACGGTTAGGTCGTGGCGGAGGCGGGGGCAGCGGGGAACGTCAAGCCTCCAAGCTTCGATGCAGAGGTTCGATGGCCACGCTCTTCCTCTGTTCCTCGGTTCCTCTGTTCCTCTCGAGATGTTCGAAGTCTTCTTTTCAGTCTTCCGTGCTCTCGCTTTGGTCAGGCCGCCCTCATGGCCCTACGCGAGGAGCGCAAGGAAAGGGAGCGTCGAGAGTGGGGACCCAAGCTTGAATTGCTCAGCCACACCCAGATCTCAATTATCCCTTGGCAGCCGCGAAGGACTCGGGGCACGTGCGAGGGATGCAAGACGCGACGGATGCGGGGACGCGGTGGATGTAGGGAGGGAAGTGGCGTCGAACGAGGCGGATGCGCTGGGCATATCTGGATGTTCTTATGATTTTTGCACAGCTTGCTCTCGCAACAGAATGATTGGGTGGACATTTGCATCGTACGGGCATGGATGCGGGACTCGGGGGGATGCGAGGGACGCGAAGGACCCGGGTCTCGCATGTGGAATGTTAGTCGTGTTGGTTGCAACTGGGTTGTGTTGGGCACACGCGTGTTGAGAACAGGGGGGGTGCGTGTTGGGAACAGGGCAGGCGTGAGTCGGGAACGCAGGGGGGGTGAGTCGGGAACAGGGCTCATGTGTACAGCACGCCCCGGTTGAGTTGGGAAAGGCTGCCCCCCAGAATTGGGTTTCGGAGTGATGACCCTACTCTGCCTGTTTGTTTTAAGGCCTCTTTCGACGACTTGGAGTTGGGTCTACCGTCTTCTTTTCAGCTTCCAAAGGGCAGACTTTACGAGGGGAACACATCCGACGTGTCATGAACCCGCACACCAATTCGGCGTGTTGGTGTGCGGGTTCATGACACGTCGGATGTGTTCCCCTCGTAAAGTCTCCCCTTTGGAAGCTGGAAAGAAGACTGTAGACCCAACTCCAAGTCGTCGAAAGAGGACTTAAAACAAACCTGCAGAGTAGGGTCATCACTCCGAAACCCAATTCTGGGGGGCAGCCTTTCCCAACTCAACCCCCGGGCGTGCTGTACACATGGGCCCCTGTTCCCGACTCACCCCCCCTGCGTTCCTGACTTACGCCTGCCCAGTTCCCAACACGCGCCCCCCCTGTTCCCAACACACGCTCGGCCCGCTCCCGACACTTGTTTTAGCGACTCAACCTTCATCCCTCGCATGTGTCGTCGCTATTCTGAGTTCTCCTGTGGAATTCATAGAATTTGGTCTTGTGTTCTTGGGAATGGGTGAATGGGTCAGGCTTAAGGCGTGGAAGATCGTTACCGTTTGCCCCCTATGGAGAGGGGCAGATTCTGTTTAGCAGTACTAGTATTCCGCCGTCATATGTTCCCCTTAAGATATTATATACTCGCTCACAAGATAAGAATACGATGGTGAGCAAATAACATTATGTTTGTCGTTCACTCCGTTCATTCGCTCATTCCGTTCGCTCAATCACTTCGCGACCTTATTGGGCGCTCAAGAACATAACACGTGTACGAAAAGCCATCTACTGTACATACCACACATTTGTTCTTACGTGGCCTACCAGCAGGCACAGAGAATGGATAGGGAAACTGGAAGTTAGTCGCCGCACTCTGGGCTGCGGCCGACCTTCCTTTCTGCAGGCTTCTTGTCTGGCAAAGGAACTAGTCTCATGGCCCGTCAAGCGATATTAGAGGCATACTGCAAGAGTATTCTTTTCATACTTTTGATATCGTCTGGGTGGGTTTGCTATTTCCTTTGGCGCCTGCATGAAAAGATCCAAGGGCCGAGCTACAAGCTTGGGAAGATAACCCCTACAACAACCCTGAAATCCTGTCCAACATTAGTGGTGGATTTCCTCTTTATATCTCTAAGCCGCAGAGAACGAGCGAACACTGCGGGAAGAATCCCCTCTTGACCTAAAATCTCCTCTTGAGCTCCGATAGTTTCCACCTTTAAGACCGTTTACACAGCGCAAAAAAATGTGTCACGCGCGAGAAATGGTTCGCCACTTTGGGTAAGATTCGCCACTTTGGGTAAGAGGCAGTAAGAGGCATCACACATGTCAGTGAGGATGGCAGCCTCTATTGCAATCCCCATGGATTCTTGACAAAAGTAGGTGAGCAGTGGTGCTTCTTAACTCCAAGAAGGACACATCTGCGTAAGAAGGTGCCGTTTCTTGGACCACTTCCTGCGTGGTCGGCCGCTGGGGGAGTCGGCGTCGGGTGCGGAAGCCGCGCACAGCGTGGTGGAGGAGCTGTTTCTTTCCCTGAGTTTACCGTTGAACGGTTGAACGTTTTTGAGAACTTCCAGTTGGAGGCAGCAGCGGTGGGCAGCGACCACGTGGAGGTGGAAAACATTTGGGGGGGAAGGCATTGAGTCCATTGAGAGGCATGCTTGGAGGCAAAACATTTGGGGAGTGAGATTTTTCAGTTTGTGGGAGGCGCCCGGCCTCTCCCAGAGCCCTTCGAGGCAGCTGCGGCCTTTGAGGTTTGGGGAGTGTCGAAAAACTTCAACTCGAGGCCCGCACGATCTCTGGACTCAAGCGCGGAGTCGCCTTCGCCTTCCCCACCAGAGGCGGTGGATGCAATGGTCTGTCCGGTATGTAGTATGCAAGCGCATGCATGAGTTTTTAAAGTGTTTACGACGTCCTTGCAGAGCTTAGAGCTTTGTAGATGTGACTTCTCGTGGGCAACGTTGCACGCTTGGCCTTGCTCCCTCTTGGCCGTGGACGGCATTTGGCCGCCTTGTGCTTTGCCTCGCTGGTTTTCCGTGGCGGCGTGATCGAAATGATCGCAATGTTAATGGGCTCTCAGGCGCCGTCCTTCCACTTCGCCCGCGCCGAGGCCCGGATCCTCGCATCTCTGAGGCTCGGGATGCTCGGGGATAGTGTGCGTGTTGCTTGCTCTCCCTTTCCCAGCCTCTGCTCCCCCCCAACTTTTCTCTGTGATGTGTTGACGCCAGGAGCACAGACCGTGTGCTTGAACGTGTGAATAGCATGGCCCCTTGTTTTTTGACCCGTTTCCTTTAAAAGACACGGAAGATACGGTGCAAAATTCAGGGTGCCCCCCCCCCCCCCAAACAATAAAGGAGAGAGACGGCAGAGAGCAGAAACATGCAAAAAATGAGTCAAAGTGAGTCCTGAGAGCGCTGCTGAAGGCCGCGTGTGCCTCCAATGTGCTCGAGTTTTGTGATGCGGCCGCCAGTGGTGGAGTGGGCCAGAACCGAAGCTGTGAGGGCGAGATGCACATGAGAGTACGGCATTACGGCATACAACGCATACACCCTGCCTTGCGGGACCCTGCCTTGCGGGACCCGACGCGTGCTCTCTTTTTTTGAATGTGTTGAGGAGCAGCCGAGCCGCCCCGAGCGCGAGCGCGAGCGGGCGGCTCCCCGGCGGCCCTCTGTGAGGCCCCGGGGGGCACTGAAGACTTCGGCACATGCTTTGCCGTACCTTGAGAAAACTTGGCTAAGTGAGACCTTGACAAGGTACTTGCATGCACTGTTTGTGATATCATTTCGTGTTTCCTGTTGCATGTTGGTGATTTTGTTTTGTTGTACAGCCTGCTGTCTGCTGTCGACTGCTATGCCGTGCCTTGGGTGGACATTCTTTGCCTTGGGTCGGTGTCAGACAGAACCGTCCTGCTGCCTTGTTTTTTTTTTCGTTTGGAACACGGTAGGATGGGACGAACAGGCCAAGGAGGGACAATCTCCCAGCTATCATGTCAACCTCCCGGCACACGGGCTAGTCTGGGCTACACGCAGCATGGAAAGTTGACCCTTTTTTCTTGTGGTAAGGCAACTAGGAAGTCGACCGTAACTGCGTTTCCCTCGGGCGGAATTGTCCACAATTCCATGCACGCATGTCACAAGCCATGTTGGCTATACGATTCGACATAAACAATTAGGTTCAAAGAAATGGTTGCCTCTTCTCGTAAGTTTTGGTAGGCTTGACTCCATGCTTTGCTTGCGTTTCGCTCGGGCGGAGGTCCTTCAGCAACCATGTTGGATGATGTTCCAGCGTTCCTTGGGGTTTCGATGCTTGCGTACTGATTTTCGCTGCTTTTCGTAGCTGTAAAATCCATGCGTTCATTTGGGGGAAAGGATCCCGCAGTCGACTTCGTCAACTTCCTGAGTCCTCTGCGTTCATTGGGGTTTCACGTCTCCCCCAATACAAGGGTCGACTTTCCCGAGCGCCTGTAGGGTGTTGGGACGTGGACATGCTATGTGGGTTACCGCGGAAAGGCCACTGCGCATCACAAAAACATCGTGCATGGGCCCTGCAAGTGGGGTTCAAGCTTGGGGGTGATCCAGGCAGTTGTTCCCGGGCATTTCGGTCATGGATGGTTTCAAGATGTTTCAAGCAACAAGTTTCTGCCATTCCGCGGTCATTGTCGGTCCCTGGACGCTGTTTTCGTTTGCAGCAGAACCGTCAGCACATGGCCAATTACCAGAACATCCGTCCAGCATTGCCAGACCAGGAGTTCCAGTTCTCACGACCATCGCGCCCGCTCGCGAAAAATCGGAACAACTGATTTCACGTAGATGCCCTGAAAAGGTGCCTTGCTGCTGACCTGGTCCAACAAAGCTTGGCAGCAAGATGGGATACTGGAGTTGGCCACTCGTTTGTCCACAGCTGCCTCGACAGCTGTTCGACCTGCGGAGTCGCTGCAATCTGATATGCACCCTAAGTGATCTATTTCTTTCCTTCTCGGTCAGTACCGAACACGTGAACTTTTCTTTGCACCTACGCTCGTATGCGCGTCCTTGTGGCTGTGCTTTCTGGTTCTCTTCCCCTCCATGCCGGCCTCGTTTCGGGAGGTTGTCATGTTCGTCCGAGTACGTCTGTGGTGCAGTATTCGCTGTCATCCGGCGTCAGTCAGTAGTCAGTCAGTCAGTCAGTGTGTGTGCGTGTGTGTCCTCCGCACTGCTGCGGATAAGTCATGCAGGTGAATCCTTGCATGTGGGGTTCTCGAGAAGGTAGGGGGGGGGTCCCCCCTCCCCACGGTTGTTCTCGCACATGTGGTCTTTTTGCAACGCAAGCTCACACATGACAGAGTTGGTTCGATGCATACGTGCGGTCTTCATGTGTGCAACATAGCTCATATATAGGATACACTTTCTACAGACACGGTGTCAACATTAGTGTCATGGCCCGGTTCTCATGCGAACCAGTACTTTGTTTGACGTTGAAATCGCACAACGCTGTCTTGATGCAAGGCAAACTCACATGTGAGAGAGTTGGCTTGATGTATGTGTGCTGCCTTCATGTGTCCGATACAACAGTTAGGCACTAGCTTTCGCTCGCCCTGGTCTCAAAACATTTCTCGCTGCAGCATCTTCTGCTTTGTCAGCCTTGCTGGGGTATGAGTACGGCATCCACTCACGATGTGGTATCCGAGTCTCTGTGTGTGTGTGTGTGTGTGTGTGTGTGTCTCTGTGTGTGTCTGTGTGTCTCTGTGTCTCTGTGTCTCCGTGTCTCTGTTTCTCTGTCTCTGTTTCTCTGTGTCTCTCTGTGTTTGTGTTTGAGAGCCTCGATACTTTCAGTCTTGCTGCTTTTTTGGGCTGTTTGAAGGAGGCGGGCCTCTGCAACCGACCTTCGTGCTCGGGAAAAGCTTGGAAAGCTGCTGGCCGGCCATTCGCGAGTGCTCTTTATAGAGGTCTACTTTGCCGATGCGGTTTGTTTTTTCAAGCAGGTGGCCCACTACGAGGTGCGCATTCTCCGCAAACAAGCAGAGGCTCCAGAGGCGACTTACATCTCGCTCAGCGCTGCTCAGCCTCGTGTGATTCTATGAAGGTCAAGAAGACGGCGAAGTTGATGCGAGTTGTACTCGGGGTTGAGGCTTCGGTTAGAATTTTGTGAGATGCTGTGAGAGGCTGCGCTGTGTGATGCTGTGGGGTATCCTCCGGTCATGGATTGCGAGGAGGAAAAGCCAGAAAGCATCCTGGAGGGCATCACGGTCTTGCAGAACGCCCAAAAGCTCATAGGCAGAGCGACAGAGTTCTGTTCTGCTGCTCTGGCTATTTCATGTGCCTCGCAGCATTCTGGTCCGAAATGAACCTAAACATGCAGGCATGTAAGCATGTAAGCATGTAAGCATGTAAACATGCAAACATGTAAACCTGTAAACATGTAAACATGTAAACATGTAAACATGTAAACATGCAAAATGTATCCACCTTTGGGTTCTACGGTGGAGGGTCGCATACTTGCCACTGCGGAGGAGCCAGCTTTGAACAAAGCGAGGGGGAAGAAAGAGCGAGGGACAAAGACGGAGCAACGAGAGACAAAACTTGAAGAGAGAAGGAGCTTGAAGGGAGAAGGAACTTGAAGAGAGAAGGAACTTGAAGAGAGGGAAAGCAAAGAGCTCGAGATTTGGCAGGAGGAGTCTTTAGCGCTGACCGTCGCTTTAGTTTGGCTCCTCACAACCCTACCCAAGCGGAGCCTTGTGGCCACTGCCTTCCTTTAATCCGTCACCACGTCCCAAAGCTGCCACACCGTCTGCTGTGAACTTCCAGGTGGCTTCTGAGAAAAACAGCGCACTAGCAGTGCTTTTTTCTTCACGTTGGATTGGAACCCTGGGGCCTGGGACCTTCTTGGACCGCTTGAATCCAAGCTCTGGCTCTGTTGCTTCGGACATCTCCTGACTTTGAACTACTTGTTCTCTCGGTTTCGTCCTTCCGACACCATGGCGAAGGCACGCAGGCAGCATACAGAGCTGGACTGTCGAATGCTTGTTTGATTGCAGGACTCGCTTACCGTGCAGTTGACGGTCCCGGGGCAGGTGCCAGCGCTGCACGCTCTTGAGATGAGCTTAAGCAGCTTATTGGGATCTTCGTGCATCTTCGCGCAGGCCCTCCCTCTTTCAGGGATTCTGCCTCTGCGGTCTGGGGGGCCCTGTGGCCTGTGTGTTGGGGACGCCGCTTGGCGAGTGTACTGGATGATTATCGCACGAACCGCCCATGAAATGCACTAAACCACTTCTTTCTCACGTGCGAGCGTATTTTATGCGCGCGGCCTTTGTCCTTCTCTCGCTCGCTCTCTCGCTCTCTCTCTCTCTCTCTCTCTCTCTCTCTCTCTCTCTCTCTCTCTCTTCGTTCAGGCGCGGCTAATAGACTCATAGCGTGCGTCAAACTCAATCCTTACCTGTTACCCTTAGAGGCGCGAAGAGAACGCTTGAAGTTAATGACAAATGAAATGCCATGCAATGCGTGATTTAAGTGATGAAGTGAGCGCAGCACGTGTAGAAAAGCATTCGCACGCCGAGGACATCGAGCGGCTGAGGGTTGTGGGCTTCGCAGACGGCGCTGTCTGCTTGAGCTTAGAAAGCGAGGAAAATGATGAGCAAGTGGAGGTTCGGGCCTTGCAGGTAGGCGAGTGTTGAGTGTCAGGTCTTGAGACGCGAGGGTTGTTCGTTGATCTTCGCGTGTGATCGCGTGTGATCTTTTAATTGAGGAGTCCCAACCGTCGAGTCGGAGTGAGCCGGACTGCTCGGGCTCCAGTCGGGGCGCCGGCCGGGGCCACACCGGCCGGGGCTACGCCGGCCGGGCCCACGCCGGCCGGGGCCACTCCGGCCAGGGCTTCGTGGAAGCATTGGCGGACACACCACAGCTCATTTACTCACGCCAGGAGAGCGAGACTCGCATTCAGAGTCGAGCAGAGCTTGTTTCTGAATGATTGGACCATGCCACGGAAGGGCACCGCCAAATATCTTCAAACATACCTTGTCCATACCTTCCCGAACATTCTTCAAGCCTGCTTGTCTCTCTCTCTGTCTCCTTTTTATGCTTTCCGACAGGAGCTCTTGGCACAAAGATCACCTTTCGCGGCCGAGGCGGCCGAGGCGGCCGAGGGGGCCGAGGGGGCCGAGGCGGCCGAGGCGTGCCTTTTGGTACTTGCACAAGTGCGTTTCTCTCTCGCCCTATGTCTTTGGAGAATCCAGAAATCGAAGGGCCTTCGAATAGCGGCGGTGGCCTACCCGGATTCCGACTTGGAAGGCATGCTGTTACAGGCACGGGCCGCCCGACATCTCCCACTCTTTTCAGCGATCTCTGAGTCGAATAGTTTTGTTTTGGGGGTAGATTTCACAAGCTAAGATTGTGTCAAGCCGCGGACAGCCGGCAGGTTTGTTTTTTCAGCTACGGCGGGCCACGAAAGTACCGATTTCGGCATATCAAGCCGCGGGCTGCTTGTGAGATGTTGTTCTTTTGGAGGGCCTATTTTTTTGGCATTGGTTTTTTGGTACTTTTTGTTTTTGTGGTCCCCTGGTCCCCTGGTCTCCTGGTCCCCTGGTCCCCTGGTCTGTTGGTCCCCTGGTCTGTTGGTCTCCCGGTCTGCTGGTCTGCTGGTCGCCTGCTCCCCTGGTGAACGATTAAAACTCATCAGGCCACTTCTCTCTCAAAGCATATGAACGATTGAAGCCCATGATGCGAGCATTGTGTTTGCAAATGGGTGGGAGGGGGGGGGGCTGTGCCCCCCCCCCCAAACCTCCCCGCCTTTTTTAGCCGTGGAAGCAAATTTCAAAGCATACGAACGATTGAAAGCCATCATGCGGGCATTGTGTTTGCAAATGGGGGGCTGCCCCCCCCCCCCGACCCCTTCTTTAAGCCGTGCAAGCCTTTTTCAAAGCACATGAACGATAACAGCCCATCAGGCCTTTTTTTTCAAAGCATATGAACGATTGAAACCCATCATGCGAGCATTGTGCCCCCCAACCCCCCCGCCTTTTTAGTGATGCAAGCTTGTTTCAAAGCACATTAACGATTGAAAGCCATCATGCGAGCATTGTGTTTGCAAATGGGGGGGCTGCGCCCCCCCCAACCCCCCCCGCTTCTTGAAGCCGTGCAAGCTTTTTCAGAGCACATGAAGGATTGCAACCCATCATGCCACTTTTTTCAGAGCGTATGAACGATCGAACCCATGATGCAAGCATTGTGTTTGCAAACGGTGGCAGCTGCGCCCCCCCCAACCCCCCCGCTTCTTCAAGCCATGCAAGCTTTTTCAGAGCACATGAAGGATTGCAACCCATCATCCACTTTTTTCAAAGCATATGAAAGATCGAACCCATGATGCAAGCATTGTGTTTGCAAATGGTGGGAGCTGCGCCCCCCAACCCCCCCGCTTCTTTAAGCCGTGCAAGCCTTTTTCAAAGCACATGAACGATAAAAGCCCATCAGGCCCCTTTTTCAAAGCGCGAGCATTGTTTTTGCAAATCACCCCCAACCCCCCCGCTTTTTTTAGTGATGCAAGCTTGTTTGCAAGCACATTAACGATTGAAAGCCATCATGCGAGCATTGTGTTTGCAAATGGGGGGGGCTGCGCCCCCCCCCCAACCCCCCACTTCTTTAAGCCGTTCAAGTTTTTTTTTCCCCCCCTCTTCAGCAATGCAAGCTTGTTTCAGAGCATATGAATGCTTGAGAGCCATCATGCGAGCATTGTGTTGGCTGCCTCCCCCCAACCCCCCCCCGCTTCTTTAAGCCGTGCAGGCTTTTTCAAAGCGTGCGAAAGATTGAAACCCATCATACCGTTTTTCAAAGCATATGTATCATATGAACGATTGAAGCCCATGATGCGAGCATTGTGTTTGCAAATGGGAGGGGGGGGGGCTGCGCCCCGCCTTCGCCCCAACCCCCTCGTTTCCAAGCTATGCAAGCTTCGTTCAAAGCATATGCGTCTTTTTGAAACCTATCATGGAGCACTGTGTTTGCCCCTCCAACTCCCGGCTTTTAAAAGCCGTGCAAACTTGCGAGCGACATTTATTTAGAGGCTGACGCCGCTGCCGCCGACCCCCGATCTAAGCGCTGGGACCTCGCTCGGCCTTCGCAGGGTGTCGGCTCGCAGAAGTGTAGGTGTCCGTGGCCGCGCGGCACAGGCGGGGGGGGGGGGGGGAGGTTAAGGGGGGGGGGTCGGGTGGTCGCAAAACGCGGTTCCATTTGAGGGAAGGGAAATGGCTCACAAAACGCGCGGTTCCGCTTGACCACATTCCAAAACACAAAATTGGAAAGGTGGAAGGGCAAGGGGGGGGTCCATCCGTTTGGCCACGTTCCAAAACAGAAAGTGGTTGTTTCGGCTGGCAAAGGAGGCTAAGGTGGGGGGGGGGGGGACCTGGGGGGGGGGGCAGGGAAATCGGGAATTCACAAAACGCAAAATTGGTTGTTTTTTGTGGCCTTGATGGGGGGAAGGGGGGGGGGGGGGGGGGGGCGCAGGGTTGGGTGCGGTTCCATCCGCTTAGCCAATTGGTTGCTTCGCCTGCCCGGGTCCAGCGGGAAAGGTACGAGCCGACATCGCCGGATAAGATTTCCTACGAAAAGCACTACGAGTCCTATGACGATATGGAGGGAATGGAGGTTTTCGCAGGAAAAACAAAGAAACTGGACCAGTTCCCATGAAAATATAGCGGGAATGGAGCTTTTGCGGAAAATCGAGCAACATTTATAAGAACTCCTACTAAGCGCAGTACGGGTCCTATGAAGATATGGAGGGAATGGAGGTTTTCGTGGGGAAAACAAAGAAACTGGACCAGTTCCCATGAAAATATAGAGGGAATGGAGGTTTTTCGGAAAACCCAAGAAAATCAACCAAATCCTCAAAAATAAAAGGGAATGCAGCCTTCTCCCAGGAAGACCAGGGACCAGACCGGGGCAGCTGGAGACCCGGGGACCAGGGCACCAGGGAACCCCCGAAAAGCAAAATGCAAAAAAATGGAAAAATACTTAAAAAACTCTCCGCGTTTTTTCAAAGCATAGGAGAGAACGGCGGAGAACACCCTGCAGAGGCATCGGTGTCGTTTCGGTGCCATCCCGGTGTCACTTCTTTGTTTTGTGAAATGAGGGGTGCTCTCTCATTTTTGTTTTATCTGCCCCCCTCTCTCTCTCTCTCTTTCTTTCTCTCTCTCTCTCTCTCCCTCTCTCTCTCTCTCTCGAATTCATTCCCTCCCTTTAGTGAGAGGTGTGTGTGTGTGCTTTCGTTATGGAGTCCTGTCCCGACCAACCGCCCCTGAGAGGAGCTCGTGGCCGGCGAGCTGCCGCCTTCCTGGTGGCGCCGCTGCAAGGAAGCCGCGAAGCGCAAGGCACGTAAGCAAAAAACATGCAAAAAAACACAAACAAGCCAGAAAGCAAGAAAGACACACACACACACACACACACCAGTGAGAGCTCTCCAACAGAGTGCTCTCTGTCTTTGTTGTGGCTTTTCGAAGTGCCCACGCTTGTTTTTCTTCCCATAAGAATGGGCGATTTACTTAAGTGCAGATGTGCAGGTTTGTGTTCGCAGATGTGTGTCACGTAGTGCTGTTACAGACTGTTACATGTGGTATCATGTGATGCTCTGTCTCCCCTTTCTTCTCAAAGCCCTCTACCCCTCACAGCAGACGATGCATGTGTCAACAAAGCAACCCCCAAGCGCACGCCATCTTTCCCTGTTCACCATGTGAGTTCTCCGATGCTCTCCGGGCCTCTCCCTTCCGGTTGTTGGAGTATCTGAGAACGTCCAGAGAGCCAGGGGCTCGAAAGTTTCCGCACAGGGAAGAAACACCCAACAATTCTTCAATGACCCGAACTTGAAACACGAAACCCCAAGCCCCCAACCCGAATCTTAAATCCTCAACCCCACACTACGCCCGGGGGGGGGTGGGAGGGGCACTTCATTCATTTTTCACTCACTTTACCTCATTCGTTTTTCCTAAGGGGTTTCTGGTGACAAAATACCTCATTCATTCTCAGCATTTCATCACCTTTCATTCTCTGATTCTTGAAGTGCTCCACCCCAGAATTTTACCTTGCCATTCTTCCAAAGAGTATCCGGTTTTCCACCACCAAAACCATCAAATTTATCAAAAGGCTATTTCATCAAAATTCATCACAAAACTCCTCAGAAAATGAATATGATGATAAATGTAAATTATTTGTCTTTTAGTCGTTAATTATGCCAACATTGGTGCAATTCGCTTGGTGCTTCAATTCTTTTAACATCATTTGTTCCAACCGTTCTTTACTGCAAACGAATCTTTTTTCTTCTTATTTGTGTATGTTTAGCAAATTCGTATATCCGCTTAATGATTTAAACCACGTGAATCCATTTGTAAAAACGCACTCATTTTCTATCTCAATATATAGAATAAGAATTTGGTTTTAAGTGGTTTTCACAGAAAAATCAAGTCAGAAAATGCTACGACAAGACAAAGGAGCTCAAGCAGACTTAACTGATGATGAAGATAATGATAGCAATGTGTATACAACCATGTAGCATTAAGAAGAGGAAAGGGGGATAAATCAAAGCAAACCTTTAAATACATTAGAGAAGAGACCCGCCAGCAAATATAGAAGATGACGCGGTTGTGCGACAGGATGGAGCCGATGAAGAAGGCTTAACAGCATCAACAATAGCAAAGGAAGCGCTGGGAATGGGATTAGGTTTAGGACTACATACAGCGTATTACGGAGGAAAACTCGCCTACCACGGAATAAGAGCAGGAAAACATCTAATTGATGCTTTAAACGAAAGAAGAGAAACAAGTGAAGGAGGAGAAGAAGAACCACACGTGGGGAGAATTATGAGAAGGGGAGCAAGTCGTAGCCCAATCAACAATCGCGAAAGCACAAGAGAAAGAAGTAGAAGTAGGGACGCGTCGGCTGACACCTCGCGAGGCTCTCGCGACACGGATGTGCGACAGGATTGCGCCGATGAGCAACCAAATAGAAGCAATGACGCAATTAGATTACTAAGAAGAGGAGCAAGTAGAAATAGGAGTAGCACGCCCCCCAAGAAAGGTAAGAGATGTTTGTGTCATCTTGTCTCGTGCGTTTTGTAAAGCATATATGTATATATACATATATATATATGGGTCCATATATATATATATTATACTTTATTCTATAGGCATATTCACATATAGTTGCAATGAGCAAGTGTCTACATATTATAGTAGATTTGTTTCAAATTTTCGAACAGCTTCGTTTGAACTCTTTCGGGACCCCGCCGTCTAGTGACCTTGCGATGGTGTGAGAGCTGGCTAGGATAGGCCAAGTGTGAACTTTCAGCTGCATTTTGTGTGAAGAAGTTGCGCGTGTTCATGTCTTCTCCAGCTCACAGGCACTGCTCATGGCGCTGCGCGCCGTCGACTCAGCTTTTGCGTTTGTGTAGTTGTGTAGGTGTCACGTGGTGTCCACAACAGATCGAAGGGAAAAACGAAGTGGAGAGAAACGGCAGACCAGTGCGTTTGCTGCTCGCCTCCTCGCCTCCTCGCCCGGTGTCCTGCCAGTCTCTGGCAACCTCCCTGGAGTGCCCAGCCCCGAGCCGCTAGAGAAGCCCGCGGAGAGTTCCATCGAGTTGTGGACTGCGCACTCTCAGAGAAGCCTCTGGACACACTTCGTTGGCGTTCGGCTGGAGCGGCATCGCTATCTTCATCCTGGAGTTGTCCCACGTGGGCACGACCAGATGAAGGATGCGGTCTATGGCAGAAGCTATCCTCGCGAAGCGGGCTTGCTCATGCTTTGTGACAGCGACAATTCGAGGATGAAGGCAGCGATGCCGGCTTCCCGGGCTTGTCTGTTCCGGATCCAGGAGAATACGCGGGTATCGGGCTTGCTGGGCACCGTGTAGTCTTTGCTTCCGGAAATGAACGTCGGGCATGCCGAATACCCGCTCCGACTAGAAGCGGGTTTCGGGTTCGGTTGGGCGCGGGAAGTCCAGATGCCTCTCGGAAGGAGGCCGAGGCGAATGTGGCGAAAGGATCCCTGCTGCAAGTAGCAGGTGTTCCATGTACGTCATTGTTGGTTCCCTGGAGCACAAATCCAATGTTTTTGGCGAGTGCTTCCATGTTTGCATGTGTCCTTATGCGTGAGACAACTTGAATTTTGTTCAAGTGCAGCTTGAGTGCCTGCGCTATCCTTTGTTCAGTCATGGGTCCCTGTCCGAACGATTTCTGTTCGTTTCCGCGTCAACTCGAGGGGCCGGATCATGAATGAACAAATGAATCAGGATTGAGTATGACTTCGCGAACGGGTGGTGGTGTGGTGGTGGGTGGTGGTGGTGGTGTGGTGGTGTGCTTTTGTATGCTGTTGTGTTTCGTGATGCCTCGTTGTTGAGGTCGGCAACATGCAGGTGTCCCCGGAGAGAGCGGGATCTGGGCCAAGTCCGCCACGGACCATTTTTTGACGTCTGCTCACGGCCTCCTGTCGAGAGCTTGTGGAGAACATGTGGGACATGCGTGTGGAACATGTGTGGAATGTCGTGGAGGCGGTGTATGCCATGCAGCCCGAGAGCACGTGCTTCAGGCGAGCCCGTCCTGAGGAGTATGCGCAGAATGAGGGGTCGCGTTTTGGGTTTCGTGTTTTCAGGGCCGGACTCGTTTCATTTAGTGCAGCTTTCAACTCCACGCAGATCACGCCAAGCTGAAGGTAAATTGCGTTCATCTTGCACGGCAGAGTGTGCTGCAACCTACCATGCGGAACACATCGTTCGTCTGCCCCTTGAATTTTGTGACAACTCCTTCTTTGACTTTCTCGACTTTGTTTTGGAAGCTCTCTTGCTTTTAAGCAAGCTCGGACAGGGCGGAGCTGGAGTGCTTCGAGCCGGATGCTTCCTTCCTCTCCGAAGCGCTGCGGGAGCTCTGGGCCGATGCCGAGGACGCGCCACGCTCCAAGTTCAGGGACCCCTTCAGACCCCTCAGACTCATCAGACTGTTCTCCTGTTCTCTGCTTTCCTTCTTTTCTTTGAGAAGTCTTGGTGATCTCCCAAAGTGTGTCTGAAATTATACTGTCTTCTGCGTCGCATATGTTAAAGAGTTGAGAGGCTTGAGTCCCAGGCTTTTTTTGTTGTGACCTTTTTGACATGACACACCTTGACATACCTTGACCCTGTCTTGATGATTTCTTCGTCAAGGCACTGCCGCTCTGCGAGGATGAAAGGCCTCAGGCATGACCATTCTCATTCTTTGTCACATGTTATGCAAACATGCAGTTGCAGATGCAATAGTGCATTTATGCAATAGTGCAAGTGCAGAAGCGTGTCAGCGCAAGTGTGTTCTTGCGACGTCTCAGGGCTAACACCCACTTTCGCCGACCCCGACTAATAAGCCGCCAAGTGTAAGCTGCGGGAGTAAGCAAAGACGTTTCGAAATCGGGAAAGACATTTTTGGGGTGGGTCTTTTGAGGGGCGGGGTAAGAGGAATAGCTCCAGAAACCGCCCGTGCGAATCTTGAGGGTTGACAACAATCGCCCGAAAAGCGTGGTGCCAAAGTGCTTCTTGGGTTCTGCGGTTCAAAGATCTACCGCGGCTGCATGTCGCTCTGCCAGGAGTGAAGTTGCCGATGCAACCGCCAGGGCTTGGAAGGGCGATCGACGCGAAGTCAGAATCAGCATCCGCTTTATGAGCTGTTTTTGTGTGGTCCCTGCGAATTTCTGTTCAACTCCACAGACGTCGAACAAACAGAGAGTGGCATCCAGCGGCGTCGGAGTCTACTTTGTGCACGTGTGGCGCCCCCCCGAGTGTCAGAGGCTGTGCGGCTTCGGTGGCTTGGCTGCTGCAACGTGGTGCGCCAGCAGCAGTGCTGCTGCCGGAGGAGCCAGGCATCGTTGCTAAGTCGCCAGTGCCACGTTCTGTCAAGCTCGCAGCCCCCACTTCGCAGTTTTGCAGGCCTCCTTTGCATTCTTTGCAGGCCCTGCAGCGTTGGCCGTGCGGCTTCGTGGCTTGAGGCTGCTGCAGGACGTTTCTCTCTGTTCGACTCCTTTTTCCCGCTCCTGAAGCGTATTGCAGTAGTGTACTAAGTTACTATACTGTACTCAAGTGCAAGCATGCAGTGGGCCCTCGAGGACCTCGGCGAGCAGGCCGCACCTGCAGCCACGGCCGTGGCGGGCTTTTTGGCTCGCATCGGCTTTGCCTTGCTGCAAGAAATGACGAGGAAGAGAAGAAGATAGGATGTGGACATCGCATGGGGCAACTGCCAACGCGAAGTGGCAGGACACACACTCTTGTTTTTTTTTGGTGTGTGTGTGTGTGTGTGTGTGCGCGAGGTACAGTGTCGTTTCCTCATCGTGAAACCGTCCACTTGCGTTTTGCTGCATGGCTTCGGCCAATGACCCCTGGGCTGGCTGGTGCAAATGGGCGCCCACCACCCACGGTGCGACCAGGCCACGTGACGACGTCACGCAGCTTCAATGGCTATTCCCTGTCAGGGGAAGGTAGCATGTGCGAATTCCGACAAGAACTGCCCTCGATTGTCTTGTTCGCCACCCTGCTGCGCCATCATTTTGTGATCTACAAAGCCTGCGCCACTTCAGCAGGCGAACGTTCTTCGCATCCCCAGCGGCAGAGCAGTTTAGCTGTCGACCTCGCTGTCGAGACATGGAGCATCATGACCTTTCTTCTCTAGCGGATTCCGGCCCACAAGCAGCTTGCGGACCCTCGCGCCAAGCCTGTGAAACGTGACGATCGGAAGCGAATGTCAGAGAGAGTTCGCATGTTAACGACTTTGTAGGAGGGAGGGGGTTCTTGTTAGCCTGTGGAAACATGATTTGCAATTTTGGGAGATACAGATTGCTGTACAGCTATCGTATCTATCGTGCCGCCGACGTCGCATCACCGAAGCCGCGGTGCGCTTGCTGTTCTGACCGTCTTAATGCTGAGCTGTCAGTAACAAAAATGCATTTTGCTGAGGTTGCTTGCGCGATCCAGAGGCCAGGGGCTGCCTGGCTTGCGCCTTTCAGAATACTTCCCTTCCCCGTTTACGACTCGCCGATAGACCCGTTCGCTGTCTTGTGCTTCGGGGAGGTGCATGGCCGACGTGCTGCAGCGGAGGCCGGTAAGGGAGACTTCTTCAATCCATTCCGTCGTTGAGCTTTTGTTTCGGCTAATGTTTAGACAGGCTCTTGCCTGCTTGGGTGCTGTCGCTGGCCAAGCGCCTCGGGCAGTGCCTCGGCTGCTGCGCCTTCTGGAGCAGGAGAGCACGCGAAGCTCACTCCTGCACCTGAAAAAAGCCAGACATGTACACTGCAGGAGGCCAATCCGCAGTGCTTGGCACTTAAGAGAATTGAGTTGGGTTCGCAGCACGCTTACAGGGTGGGGAATGGAATGCATGTGGAATTCTTTGATTCACGAGTTGTTTCGTTGCTTTCACAGTGAGGTCGGGAGTCGGCTGCACGCGCTTTGGGCTCTTTGGGCCCAGAGGGTCGGCAAGCAGCCGAGTCAGCTCTTCGGCATCCAGGCTGAGAGCATCTGCTGAGAGAGAAACCCTGCACTGCCTCCGACTGGCCTAATTCGCGTCCATGCACTTCCCTTGCAGTTTGTGCAAACGATCCCTACACCGATGTCAAAAACATGAGCTGCTCGACGCAGCGCGTCTTTCCCCAGATCTGGACGTGCGTGGCCTGGCCTGCACAGCACTGGAAGCCTGCCTCACGCAGGCAGGGCTCTAGTCGTTAGTAGGGCAATTTTTTTGGGCAGGACTCCGGGACTTTCCCCTCAGACTCTCAAGTGTCTTCGTGTCTTCGCTGTTTAGCACGTTCCAAGCATGCCACAAAGGAGCTACAGGGTCCGTGTCAAGCAGCCAATGCTTGAGTGGATCATGCCGTCTACCCTCAGCATAGCAACAACGACGCCGATCCTGGCCTGCTAGCAAGGCTGGCCATCATGACATGGCCCGACCCTTGTAATCGTGAGCACTGGATTCCAAGCTTTTCCAAGCTTCAGAGCGACTTTTCATTTCCAGCTTCTCCAGTTGCATTCGTCCTTCGAACATTCAGAGGCTCAACTACCGCATCAGTTTTAGCATTTTGCTTCCAGCGCTCCAAGATGTCGCCGCGCATGATGCCACGTGATGGCACATGATGCCACATGATTTCTGCAGAACAGGCTTGTTCCACGTCGGAACTCCGCCCTGAGTCCTGAAATCTCAAGAAGAGCAAAGGAGCGAAAGTAAGGTGAGACTCGAGTCTTTTCGTGAGTTGAACAGAGTTTTCTTCCTTGCTGAGCTTCTGGAGGCCACGCAGGCAACGCAGGCGCTGCTCTCGTGGCTCCAGGAGACACAGCAAAGTCAGACAGACAGAGAGTCTCGCGTCACAGAGTGAAGACAGGATGGTGGAGCGCCGGAGGCGTGTGACTTTTCATGTTTCTCTTCTGCAGTTCTTTGCGCTCAGTGCGTGCTTTCTCTTTGACCGGAGGCACCCTTGAGGGCTCGGGCTGTGCAGGCATCTGCCTCGGCATCACACGCATCACCGCGCATCACCACGCATTGCATGCCTCGTTGTGCGTGTGGCATGTTGCACGTCTGCCAGGCACTGGGCAGGCTTGGGGACAGCAGGGCGCTTCCGCTCCTTGTGGCAGCTGAGCTGAATCACGGGAGAGCGGTTAACTCACATGGCTCTTCTAGTTTGTCTTGTGCTGTCGCCTTTCGAGTCCCTTGTTGCTTAGCTTGACAGTGTACCAAGTGCACTGGTGAATCTGTTTGCTGATGTTGGCTGCTTTGCTGCGTGCGTCTATTTGCTTCTGAGTTTAAGCAAAAGTAGAAGAACACTTCAACAGCACGTCTGGGTGTGAGTATGCCGGCGAGATTGGTGTCGGACAGTGGCGGGAACTCCAAGGCCTTCGCTGCAGATCCCGACCCAAGCGTGCGGGCCATGGCCTGAGAGAATGGAGAAGCCTCCCAGTTTGACCATCAGCTTGGCCCTCAGCTTGGCCTTCGAGGCGTATGAGGAAGTCTCTTAGAAGGGGGGCCTTTCCTTTGCCCGTGGGAGCGCGAGCTCGAAAGGGTGGGGTCTGTGTGTGTGTGTGTGTGCCATATGCTGTGTGTGTGTGTGTGTGTGTGTGTGTGTGTGTGTGTGTGTGTGTGTGTGTGTGTGTGTGTGTGTGTGTGTGTGTGTGTGTGTGTGTGTGTGTGTGTGTGTGGTGTGTGTGTGTGTGTGTGTGTGGTGTGGTACACCTGTGGTGTGGTGTGGTGTGGTGTGGTGTTGTGTGGTGTGGTGTGTGGTGTGTACTGTGTGTTGTGTGGGTTGTGTGTTGTGTGTGTGTGTGTGTGTGTGTGTGTGTTGTGTGTGTGTGTTGTGTGTGTGTGTGTGTTGTGTGTGTGTGTGTGTGTGTGTGTGTGTGTGTGTGTGTGTGTGTTGTGTGTGTGTGTGTGTGTGTGTGTGTGTGTGTGTGTGTGTGTGTGTGTGTGTGTGTGTGTGTGTGTGTGTGTGTGTGTGTGTGTGCGTGTGTGTGCGTTAGTAGTGCTTGAACATGTTTGAAGAAGTGTCATGCTGAGAGTGCGAAGGCCGCACCTCACACCTCGGTGTATGTATGCTCAAGCTGAAAAGGGATGGATGCTGGCCATGGAGTCCTAGGTGCCGGAGGCTTACTCCTCGGGCTGTGGCTGCAGGGTGGCCGTGGGTCACCGGACGGGGCGTGCCACCGAGCAGTGACCTGCCACTGTGCCTGCCCTGTGGAGACGCAGGCGGGGGCTCCTTTTGGCAGCTGGGTGATCATAGCCTTGCTGGTTACACTCCTTGGTGCCAATCTTGCTCTCGTCTTTCGAGTGTCGATCAAAAAGACAGCTGCGGGGGAGCAAGAGTGGACCTTGTCTGTGAAGGGCAAGCCGGGAAAGGGCGTCTACGGAGCGACCAGAGGGCTGCAGATCACAGAGGGCTAAAGAAGACATGGAGCCTGGTGAGATATGCTATGTGAGGTACCATGGAGATCCGGGCGTGGTGCACACTCGGCTGCTGCTTGGTTTGGTGGAGGGCAATGAATGGCTCATTTGCACGCCTGACCACGATATATACGTGGAAGAGATGCACCCGCAGAACCCGGACTTTCACAACTTCTGGCATACTCAGGACGGCCGGGTACCCCGCGGGGTGCCTGCTGGACAGGTGTATGCCTTTGCGCCCTTGAGCGCAAGAGAGCTGGCCCGCATCAACGCTGCAGGAAGGGCAGAACTCCAAGCGGAGCGTGCTCGGCGAGGTCTGGGCGCGGCTGCTCCCGGCGGTGGTGCTGGGGCTCCTGCTGCTGCGGCAGCTCCGGCCCCGGTCCCAATGGTGGTGGCGCCGGTGGCTCTGGCAGGGGGTGGGGCTCCGGATGCCCCGGTTGTGCAATATGCACCTGACACTCTGTACTGGTTGGCGGCTGAAGATGGCGGCGGCTTCAAGTTTGGTGATGCTGTTCCCGCAGTCTTGGTTGCCGCGGCAGAGGGCTTGAAGGTTGTGCACAGCCTGCCGGGAGGCAGCATCTTCTGTGAGTGCGTCAGAGCATCAGAGCGGCCGAGCTTTCTCCAACGACCAGCCCGCTGGGACCAACGCATCGTGCCTGTGACTTTGGATGCGCTGGGGAAGCCCGACTGTAGTCTGAAGGAGGTAGCGCAGAAGTGTTCGGAGCAGGCGGTGCAGTGGAGCTTGCCGGGGCCTAGAACAGCGAAGTGGTGCCTGGCTTACCTGTCTGCAGAGGGCTTGGGTCTGGAGGGGCACCACGAGCGCTTCAGACAGCTGGTGAAGGCAGATAGCTCCAGTTGGGGGGTCGCCGAGCACTTCCAGCTCTCGATGATCCTGAAGGCTGCGCTCCAGCAAGACCAGGTCGACGGCTACAACAATCTGTTCATCGAGATTCTCTTCCGCCGGCTGCAGACGATCGAGTATTCCTACTCTGAGAAGGCAAAGGAGATCGAAGCAAAGGCTGCGGGAGGTCGGCTCAGCTTGGAGGAGCAGCAGACCTTCGGAGGCCTGATGAGGCAGGCGTCGACGCTGATGGTATGCCCCGATTTGCTCACCCACGTGAAGACCGAGGTTGAACGTGATGCCACCCTGGCCAAGAACCTCCGGAAGGCTCGTGAAGAACGAGAGCTCTTGCGGAAGAAGAAAGGCGGGAAGGGTGGCGACGATGCCTCCTGAAGGGGGGCCAGGCAGCGACCCAGGACTCGCCGCTGCCTGGCTTTCACAAGAGTCCTTGCACGATGACCGCTCCGTCCCTAGAGAGCTTTTTCCTTTACCTCTGCTTCAGAGTTCTCGGCCGTTGGCCGGCCGGGGCCGCCGCTCGCAGAGGCGCGCGCTGCATCGGTGGAAGGAAGACGAAGAGATCAACCACACCATCGCGGCGCTGAATTCAATGTACGACGCCCCCCTCAAGGGGGGGCAATCTTCCTTTGCTCGCCCTTCGGCTGCACAGGTCCGGGCGATTGGTTTTATCAAGCAGTCGGTCTCCGACTTGGGGAGGCCCCCTCCGGACCTCTCTGGCTCAGGAGCGCTTCGGATGCTCCGAGCTGCGGGCACCTATGACGACACGGACCAGGACGTCATCGGAGTGCCTTCGCCCTACATCCCCGAAAGTGTCTCCTTGCCTTCGCCGGGCTGGCAGCCGATCAGTCTGGCGGATCTTTGGGGAGCTGACGGGCCCGATTTTGTGGACGAATTTTGTCGCTCAAAGCTTTTGCCTGAGAGTGAGGCTCGGCGGCATGTTCAGGATAGCGGGATTGAGCGTCCTTACTGGGACCCTTTGCTAAAACATAAGCCTACTTATGGGAAGTTCCTTAGCCGACTCTTGGCTTCGAACCTCATCGACTTTGTCACTGAGCCTTGCCGGGAGGAGGTCGCCATCTTCTTCGTGACCAAGAAGGGGGGGCGACTTCGAATGATTGTGGACGCCAGGCGCAGCAACTGTCACTTCACTGAGCCCGATCCGGTCAAGCTGTGCACAGGGGAAAGCCTCGCCAGGATTGAGACAGACGGCCCCCTCACCATCGCCATGGCGGATCTGAAGGACGCCTTTTACCACCTGGGTTTGCCGTTGTGTCTTCGGGACTTTTTCGGTTTGCCGGGGATTCAGGCTGGGCTGGTCGAGGGCCTCAAGGTCGATGGCAAGACGCCCGGCCCTAAGATGAAAGTCTACCCGCGGCTGGCTGTGGTTCCCATGGGATGGTCTTGGGCGCTTTGGGTGTGTCAGTGCATGCACGAACGCCTGGTGGAGGCGGCGGGGCTTCGTGAAGAGGCTCGGCTTCGTGACCGCCAGCCAGTGCCTGAGAGCAGGGTCCTCCACACACAGTACGTCGACAACCTGATCTGCATAGGGCAAGGCGATAGTGAAGTACTCAGTCTTTTCCAACAAGCAGTGCAACAACTAAAGAAGGCCGGCCTCCAGGTGCATGAGGAAGAGGTCACCAACGATGGTGCCAAGGTCTTGGGCTGGGAGATCCAGTCGTCGGGGCGCTTTGGCCCATCTTTGCACCGAGCTGCGGCTAGCCTTGCGTGAACTTCTGAAGCGGGGGTGGGCATCCGGCAAGCAGCTTGAGAGGCTGCTTGGGCACTGCGTCTTCATCTCCCTGGGAAGGCGGGAAAGTTTGTCGGTCTTCAGTGAAATTTACCGGCATGTCCAGAGATTCCGGGATGATAAGCGTGAAGTGCCCATTCCTCGTGGAGTTCGCAGAGAGCTGATGAAGTGGGATGGGCTCTTGCCACTCATGCACAGGAACCTGCGAGCGCAATGGAGTGAGATCGTGCACTCGGTTGATGCCTCAGAATGGGGGCTTGGCGTCACGTCTGCTCGCTTTGAGAAGCCAGAGGTTCGTGCACTGGGGCAGTACAATGAGCGCTGGCGTTTTAGAAGCCCGCACTCGGCTCGTCCTCGTGATCAGGCCTTCGCCGTGGAGGGTGCCAAGAACCTCCCTGAGGGCGGTCCGGACCTGAAGGTTGAAGAGATGCCAGAGGCCCATGACCGCGATCCAGGGAAGTTTGAGCCCGTGGGTTTTGAGGCCGTGAACCGCTCGTGGGCCACGACAGCCATCTTCAAATGGAGAAGGCGGCTCACTTTGCCGGTCGCCGAGGCTCGCTCCTCACTGCATGCTGTCAAACATGTTCTGCGCTCCCTGGACAATCATGGCAAGAAACATGTCATTCTTAGCGACTCCATGACGGCAGTGTGCGCCCTCTCCCGGGGCAGAGCTCAGACTTTTGCATTGAGGCGAGTGTGTCAGCAAGTTGCAGCGCTGGCTTTGGTCACAGGGTCTGCTTTCTTCTTGCGATGGATCCCTAGTGAATGGAACCCCGCCGATCGCCCGTCTAGAGGTGGGTGGTTTCCTTCGGTGCCCAAGCCCCCGCTGTTGTGTGACGCTGAGACGGGTGATGATTCACACCGGGGTGGTCACGACCCCGTCTCTGGATGCAACGACGGGGGCACCTTTTCTAAAGACCAAGCAGGGCAGGAAGGCCATGAAGGTGGTGATGGCGCCGGCTGCTCGGTCGGCGGGGGAGCTGGGCGACTCAAAGGAAGCCACAGAGCCAAGCAGGTCACGGCAGGCCAACAAAAGTGCGCGGCGGAGAGCGAGAGCAAAGGTACGTGCGACAAAGGATGGGCGGACAGCATTGGAAGATGCTGCAGTCACACCGGCCTCGAGGAGGAGGTATGCGGCAGCGTGGGAGTCCGTCCAGCACCTGGTCTGCCGATCCCGATCTGCCTTGAGGTCCTTCTCAGTGATCGATGCGAACCTGGCCAAGCACCTGCTCGACATGTACTTGGACGGCGAGGACCTTTCGGCGGCTCAGTACTTGGTGGCGGCGGTGCTTTTCTTCTGCCCGCTGGTGAAGGCTGCAGGGATGTTGCGGCTGCCGCGTGTGAGGCAGAGCCTACAGGGCTGGCGGCGCCTAGCGCCTCCCCAGTCTCGGCTGCCAATACCTTTCGAGGCTGTGGCCCTCTTGGCCACATGGGGGTTCCTGAACAACTATGTGTCCGCGGCCCTCCACATGCTTCTGAACTTCATGCTGTACCTCCGGCCGACGGAAGGTCTCCACTTAAGATGCCAGGACCTGGTCCGCCCGCCGGCGAGACATCGGCGATATCGCCGTTGGACAGTGGTTCTTCATCCGCTCGAGCTAGGGCGGAGTTCCAAGACCAACGAATACGACGAAACTCTGGAGCTGGACATGGACTACCACGACCAGGTGGGAGATGCCATCGCGCGAGTTCAGAAGGTGGACAGTCGGGGCCCCGAGGAGCCCTTGTTCACTCACTCCCTTCGAGATCTCCATCGGCTCCTCGAACATGGAAGCGCCGCGTTGGGATTGCAACCGCTGGGACCTCTTCACCCCTACCGACTTCGACACGGGGGCGCGTCACACGACTTCAGCCTTGGTTTGAGAGACTTGGCCGGAGTGCAACTTCGAGGCCGCTGGAGGAGCCAGGCAAGTGTGCGGAGGTACCAGAAAGGGGGGCGATTGGCGCAATTGTTCGCCCGCCTCCCTGCGGAGGTCCAAAGACAAGCCACGGAGGCCGCAAACCGTTTAGGCAGCCGTTGTGCTGCCCTGCGCTGAGCCACAGCCTACCCGACCCTCCTGTCTTCCTCGAGGTTTTCGCTGGGACACACAGGCTCGCTTCTACCATTGCGAGAAAAAATGGGTGGCCTGTGCTCTTCTGGGACATCTTGCTCGGACCTAAGTATGACCTGACTGTGAAGAAGAACCGCTGTGTCATACTCGGATGGCTGCGGGCAGGGCGGCTTCGCGGACTACATCACGGCACACCGTGCCATACTTTCTCAAGAGCAAGGGATTGCAGGCCGGGGCCGCCGCCGTTGAGGTCAAATCAGTGCCCCCTCGGTTTGCCTGGCCTTGCCCCTGATGATGCTCATAAGGTCATGCTGAACAACATCCTCATGCGCTTTTCGGCCGAATGCATGCGCATGTGCCTGGTGTTCCGGGTGCCCATGACTATTGAAAATCCCCGTACCTCAAGGTTCTGGCTTTGCCCGCCAATTCGCTATGTTTTGCGCAGGCGACATGTTCAGCTCACTTTTTGTGATTTTTGCATGTTCGGAACGCCCTGGCGAAAGCCTACCGCAATTGCAGGCGCTTGGTTGTCACTCGAGAAACTCCAGGCCTTCTGCTGCGGGGGCTCCAAACGGGTTTGTGCCAGGACACAGAAGCCTCATACGCCTTTGGCAGGAGCGACTCCGGATGGCCGCTTCATGACGGCTCTTGCGGAGCCCTACCCACTACGATTCTGCCAGGTCGTTGCATCCTGCTTCTTGGATTGGGAATTGCAAGCGCGGGCTGATGCCTTCGCTCTTTTTCTTTGACGGCGAGAACCAGGGCGCAGGCGCATATGGGCTGCGTATATGGGTGGGGCCGAAGTCCTGCGGCCTGAAAGCTGCGAGCTCTTTCAGAGAGGTTTTTTTTCAAAGGACTCTCAACCGCAAAGCTCTGAGAAACTGTACTGGCCGCCAAAAAGGATGCTGATACGGATTCATTAGTAGTGCTTGAACATGTTTGAAGAAGTGTCATGCTGAGAGTGCGAAGGCCGCACCTCACACCTCGGTGTATGTATGCTCAAGCTCCCGCCCAGCCCTCCCTGTGACACCGCTGCGGGGGGTGGGGCCGAAGTCCTGCGGCCTGAAAGCTGCGAGCTCTTTCAGAGAGGTTTTTTTCAAAGGACTCTCAACCGCAAAGCTCTGAGAAACTGTACTGGCCGCCAAAAAGGATGCTGATACGGATTCATGTGTGTGCGTGTGTGTGCGTGTGTGTGCGTGTGTGTGCGTGTGTGTGCGTGTGTGTGCGTGTGTGTGTGTGTGTGTGTGTGTGTGTGTGTGTGTGTGTGTGTGTGTGTGTGTGTGTGTGTGTGTGTGTGTGTGTGTGTGTGTGTGTGTGTGTGTGTTTTTGTTTGGGTGTTGTGTGTGTGTGTGTGTTGTGTGTGTGTTGTGTGTGTTGTGTGTGTGTGTGTTGTGTGTGTTGTGTGTGTTGTGTGTGTGTGTGGTGTGTGTGTGTGTGTGTGTTGTGTGTGTTGTGTGTGTGTTGTGTGTGTTGTGTGTGTTGTGTGTGTTGTGTGTGTTGTGTGTGGTGTGTGTGTTGTGTGTGTTGTGTGTGGTGTGTGTGGTGTGTGTGTGTTGTGTGTGGTGTGTGTGTGGTGTGTGTTGTGTGTGGTGTGTGTGGTGTGTGTTGTGTGGGTGTGGGTGTGGGTGTGGGTGTGGGTGTGGGTGTGGGTGTGGGTGTGGGTGTGGGTGTGGGTGTGGGTGTGGGTGTGGGTGTGGGTGTGTGTGTGTGTGTTTGTGTGTGTGGGTGTGGGTGTCTGGGTGGGTGTCTGGGTGTGGGTGTCTGGGTGTGTGTGTGTGTGTGGGTGGGTGTGGGTGGGTGTGGGTGTGGGTGTGGGTGTGGGTGTGGGTGTGGGTGTCGGTGTGGGTGTGCGTGTGCGTGTGCGTGTGCGTGTGCGTGTGCGTGTGCGTGTGCGCGTGTGTGTGGTGTGTGTGTGTGTGTCTCTGTGTGTGTGTGTGCTGTCTCTCTGTGTGTGTGTGTTTTAAGCGAATAAGCGAAACGCGTCTTTCTCTTTTCTCTCTTTCTCTCGGTTTTCAGAGGAAGCCTCGCTGCTGGCCCTCGGCGCCGGTGCATGCTCCAGGCGGGGCGAGTCGGGTTCCCCGCCAAGGCCCCTTGAATGCGTGCTGTGAATTGCGCATTGCCACAAAGCCCAAACGACTTGGAGGGAGAGAGAGAGGGAGAGAGAGAGAGAGAGAGCGAGCGAGAGAGAGAGAGAGAGCGAGAGAGAGTGCGACGTGCGATTGCAGCAGTTAAGGGCTGGCATGTGAGCTCGGCATGTGGCAGTTGCGAATGGGACCTCGTGCTCCCCACGCTTGCCGCTGCTTTGGACGATGCAGAAGACTCCGTTCGAGAGGCAGAGCAGCTGCAGAAACCTGCAGAAAGCCACTTGGAAATGAAAACAGCTGGCAGGCAGCCGCTCGAGCATTGGCGAGGGAGGAGCCAGAGAAAAAGAAGTGCCGTTCTTGCCCATGAACAACACTGTAGCACATCACAGCAGATATCACAGCCAGCAGCGTGACACAAAATCTGACAAACTTGCCTGGGCGGCTCAGCTGGAAACTCAACTAGCAGCTCAGCAAGATTCAGATGATTCAGCAATTCAGCAAGCATCTCAACCAGCTCATAGTGACATAGTGTTGAGCAACTTCTGTGTAGGTGTCGTGGAGAACGATGATGAGCCGATCTCTGGCAGCCGAGTGGTCCTTCGTGTGCTTTGCCTTCTAGACCGAAAAGCCGGAGACAGGGCACCCAGACATCATGCGCCCGGAAGCATTCGCAGACTAGTAGTAGTTTCACAGTGTTCACAGTGCGAGGCACGGACGTCCTTGGCAGACTCGACACGAGCCCTGGAGGCGGGCACTTGCTCGTAGGCGAGAGCAATGCGCAGGTAGCTGACAGTAGTCATTCGTCGCACATTGCAGGAGCTGACCAGCAACGAAGAAAAGCTCTTGGTAGACATGGTGGACCTTTCGCAGGCCCCAGAAATCTTCCAACGGGCACAGGTGCAGCAGACAGCCGTCAGGTCAACCGTGAGGAGCTCTCCGAGGAGGCTCAGGTTCTGATCTCGGGTGGATTGCAACTGATGCAATGCAAATGACATGCACCGTGCAATGCTGCAACAGCCAGGACGAGAAGGTTGCCAGTTTACTTGGGCCTCCAAGCAAGCTGTCCCTCGGCTGACATCGGCTGTCAGTTGTGGCCTCTGGGTAATGTGCTGACTGTCCTTCAGAGGTCTTCTGCTGACGTGAAGCATGCATGGGAAGTTGTGCATCAGGAGGCGGCGATTGCTTTCATCGGTAACTGCAAAACGCATCCAAGCCTTTTCCCCCCCAACAAGTTGTGGGTGGCCTCTCTGAGAGCACTGTAAAAGGCAGGTGACTGGCTCCCAAAAGTGCAGAAGGAGCAGAAGGATAAGGAGAAGATGGCCCAGGCTCGGTTTTCAAATGTTTTTTCATGGGCTTCTCTTTCTTTTTCTCTTCCCGTCTCTCAGCTTCTCTTTCTGTTTCAGTGCATGTCAGAGTGTGTGTGCGACAGCGCGAGAGTGGAGTCAGTGAACGGGCAGCTGCCCTGAATGCGATTTTGTTTTCAGGAGAAGGGTAGAGTAGATCCATTCTCGGAGTAGTTGCATAGTCCGAGCATTGATTTGATTAGCCCTTCGGAGCTGACCCAGCCTGTGATGCAACAGCGCACGATGCAACCCAGGGCTTCGCGACTTTGCGGGGTTATTTGGCAGGCAGAACTGCACGACGCGAGTTCGAGCTCCCGAGATCTCCTTACTTCTAGCAAAAAAAGGAGCCCTCACTGAGACACAGAAGTGTGGGCCGCAAGGCCGCAGGGCCGCATTTGGCCGCCATTGGCCGCCTTTTGCGCGGGGGGCAGATTTTCGCAGCTGCTGCTGGAGTGTGCGTGTGGGGGTATCAGTGCCTTCAGAGCACTGGGAAAAGCCGTGGGGGGGCAGATGAGGGGCTCTGACAGAGCCCTTGATGTGGAGCACTATAGCAACACAACCGAATCGCCGTCGAAAAACAAGGGGTTGCCCTGAAAAATCCTCAAGTCACAAGTCCCTGAAGGGCTTCCGCATGGCAAGTAGAGTCTGCCACCAACACTGGAGACGCAACTCGCCATCCTCCCTGTGCTGCTCGCTCGGATGTGACTGCGAGTTGCGCTGAGCTTGAGAGCATTGATGAGGTATCACAACAGGTCAAGAAGGGCAAGAACACAGGGAAGGCGACCAGGGAGTTTTCCCGAGCAGCCGTGACTTGTCCAAGCTGAGTTTTCCAGGAGGAGAGCGCGGCGGTGGAGCAGGTTGCGTTTTGAATTCGCCTCGCAAGCAGCTGGAAGTCTCAGGTCTTGGAAGCCGCGCATCTGCAAAAAGCTACTGGCTCACAGAGGGGCAGTGAAGCCATGGAACCCACCAAGCAGCAAGATTAGCCCGAGGTTTTTGCGCCTGGTAGTTTCGCAAGGCTCTTAGCAAGGCCCTTATTGCAAGGACCTTAGCCAGACACTTAGCAAGGCCTCTTGGCAAGGCCTCTTGGCAAGGCCCTTAGGCCCTTAGCAAGGCATAGCGCGCGCCCTTCCCAATGTTACAGCCAGTCTGGGCGAAGGGCGCAGTTCGACTAGTAACGTTTGCTGGGCCATGGACGTGATGCCATGGACAAGGCGGACGGGGTTCGGTGAACCCGTCATGTAGTGTCATGTAATTGATGTCATGTGATGTCGTGTGATGTCATGTGATGTCATGTGATGTCATGTAATGTCATGTAATGTCGTGTAGCATCAGGCTTGCATCATGCATGATGTACGGCATTTTGTGCGGAGGCTGGTGCCTTCGATGAACGAGGGCTTTGGGTTCTGCGGAGGCCAGAATCACAGGATGTCACGGGATCAGCATGGGACAGCATGGGCCGGCATGGGCCGGCATGGGGCAGCATGGGACGCTGGTGCACACCTTTTCGTGCTCAGGGTCAGCACGATCTTTGCTGTGCGCAGAGAGAAGCTGGAGCGGGACTTTTGTTGCCGGACCTGCTCTCCCTTGAAACGCTTAGGGGGCCGAAGTCACAACGCCATCCTGGCCCCAAGGACAAGTTCCTCCAACTGCTGGGCGAGGATGCGAATTCCAGCAGAGTGCTGAACCACTTTCTCAATGAGGCTGGTTGCACCAGCACCGACGGCCCAAAGAAGGCTCACATTGCCTGCAAGGTGGAAGTGCCAGCAGTCTTCTTTCATTCGAAGCTTGGCCGCATGCTGCTCTAGAAGAGCATGTTACGACATGCTGGTTTGTCCCAGAGGTCTGGAAATGGGGACAGCTGCACCGTATCCACAGACTTGCCGACGGTCCCGAACCCGGTGGATCCACATTGGATTCGAGCTCTGAACGCTGAGCTTTGCTTTGCGTGTGAGCGTGTGAGCTGTTGCTGATTCTCAGTGCGAGTGAAGTGCGGCTGTGGAGTGAGCGAAACGGTGAATGTGGGGCGCCAAACCTCGGGGCGTCTACAGGAACCACCCGTCTCAGGGTAAGGAGGATCGTTTCATTGTTGATTCCGGCTTCTGGTGTCTCTTGCAACATCTTGCAGGCCTTCTTGTTTCCTTGGTTTCCGTGAATCGAGCGCTCACCCCGGTGACCCCGGTGTCTGTTACATCCCTCGCCCATGAATGTAAGTGCGCAGATGGGTGCAGGTATGGGTGCAGGTGTGTGTGTGTGTGTGTGTGTGTGTGTGTGTGTGTGTGTGTGTGTGTGTGTGCAGGTGTGTGCGTAGATGTGTGCAGAGAAGCAGCACGGTGTTGCAGAGATTTCCTGTTAAGGCAGCTCAGCTCAAGAAGAAGGCGGGGAGCCCAGGAAGTCAAGGGAGTCAAGGAAGTCAAGGGAGTCAAGGGAGTCACCGGTCAGCGGCACCCAGCGTGCCAGGTTCTGGCCCTAGTGCGGTCCAAGCACGAGGTGGGGGGGGGGGGGGGGTGCACAGAAATTTCGGGGCCAACTCTGAGCCCGCTAATCCAACTCTGAGCCCTCTGACTCCCAGGTGGAGATTGACTTAGGCGGGGCACATGCGCTGTTTTACGACGGCATGGACGGCTTTGTCTGTGGTCTCTGTTGTCTTTTTCTTTGCTCCTCCGCCATGCTGTCCTTGAGTCATTTTGTCTCCAGCCAGAGGCCCTGGGAGGCGACCTTCCGTGGTCTTCGTCGAGCTCGCGAAGGCTTCTTTTGTGGTGTGCGTGGCATGAACAAACCAGGACAGTACCAGACATCAGTAACATACGAGTTCTATCGAACCCAGGGGATCATGGACCTCATCAATTCCTACTGCCACTCTGTTTATCTCTCCGTCCTCATGAACCCTGCGAATCAGCGGGGCTGGCCCTTTGCTCAGTCAATAATTGAGATGAGGATCTTGGCGGGGAAGGGGAACAGGCTTCTGTGCTTTCATGGCGAGGTTGTGGTGTTGCAAGTGGGCAATTGAGAGGAGAGGCGTTCGGAGTAGAGGGAGACGTGGAGGGCTGTTGTGACACATCTGAGGTCAGACCTTATCACACGGGACCTCTTAGACAAGTTTCACAGCACCTCGGTTTCATCGTCGTCTGCCAGGACGCCCCTCTCCTGTGCATCCCACGTGTCAGGCTTTCTCGCAAGCCTTCACGTGACTGTCGGCCTCCGACAGGCGCGAGCTGCGCACAAGCTGGGCACAAGCTGGGCACAAGCGTTGGGGGTGCCGCAAGTTCTCTGGAGAATCTGCCAGGGCCAGACGCTCTTGCCCTTGCCACCCAGGGAGGCTGTGCAGGCCAGTGCATGGCCGTGTGCCGTTCTCTAGACGTTTTCTAGAGCTCTCTCCCTATGATCTTACTCTCATTCTGTCTCGCTTCTCTGGCTTCTCTGAAAGGAGGGAGCTGGCGGGCCAGGCGGACATTTTCTACCACCATATTGCTCATGAATCATTACCTCTTTTCCAGAGTGCCTTTGTTTACAGGATATACGGCCCCTGCCTGTTTGAGGCAAGACGTCCAGCGCCGCTTCCACGAGCAAGGTGCGATCAGACGGTGTCTTGTGACAGAGACAGACAGAGGGAGAGCCGAGAGCGAGAGAGAGAGAGAGAGCGAGCACTGGGCGCGCCTTGGAGCACGGGGGGGCCTCTCGGGGTCTCCTCATGCCCAGCAGAAGAAGAAGAGAGAGCACTGGAAGGAAGGAAGGAAGAAGAGAGAGAGAGAGAGAGACAGAGAGAGCGAGAGAGGGTTTTGGGGGCAGCCCGCCTTCGGGAGGGTTAAGCGTGCAGAGAGAGAGAGACAGACCAAGCTCCGAGACTGAATCGCGTGGCTGGGCGCGCGCAGTGCGCGGGGAAGGGGGATCCTTTCCTCAGGCCCCCGTAGAAGAAGAAGAAGAAGCAGCAGAAGAAGAAGAAGCAGAAGAAGAAGAAGAAGACGAAGAAGAAGAAGCAGAAGAAGAAGAAGAAGAAGAAGAAGAAGAAGAAGAAGAAGAAGAAGAAGAAGAAGAAGAAGAAGAAGAAGAAGAAGAAGAGAGAGCGGCGATTTTGGCTCAAGTCGGAACCCACCCCCGGCTTGAGCCAGTGAGCAGCCATTTTGAGTTTCGAGACCGCCTTGGGCCCTTGGGGGACTCCGACGGAACGAGCGGCAAATTGTGGGGTTTAGGTGACCATCTGTTTCCACGGGGCCTGGACTAGTACTGAGGGTGTACGCTCTAGCCCGAGGTGTGCCGCGGTCGTAGTTAACGACTGGAGTGCACCTGCTTCGTTCTTGGGGGCGAAGAAGAAGAGGGGGGAGGACGGCAATGGATGGGGGAACAAAGCACAGCTGGAAGAGGGGGATAGAGTGGGCAGAGGAGGGCAGATGGCCATGGGAGGGGGAAGTAAGCTGGCAGAACCAAGACACTGAGACGGCTTGGCGATGGAGAGCCAAAAAAGGCCAGTGGGAGCGAAGATCGCAGGCTTGGCAGTGCAGAAAGCACCGCATAGGGTGAAGCAAATACGTCGACGTCCAGATGTACTGAATCTGACAAGTGATGCATATGCCAATGTAAGATACCCAGGGTGTTGCAGTGTAACATTCGATCTCAGGGAGGCCTCGGGGTGTTTGAGGAATGGTTTGTTCTGTGGGGAGGGGGAGGTTCGGTTTGGCAAGGGGGCATGGGAGGCAGTTCGTAGAGGACTGGTTCCGTTGTGGGGGAGAGGGAGGTTGAAGTAGGGTTGAGGGTGAAGCGGCGACTTCAATTTTCTGAGAGGTCCGAAAAGCGTGGGGAGGGAGGAGAAGAAGAATAGGTAGACAGGGGTCCTGCGGCGGGGCCGCCGGTCGGGTACTGGGGCCGCAGTGGACTAGTCAAGTTCGTGGGCTCGGCGTCATTGCAGCTCATCTGCAGCGCAATGCTACCTTCCTTTGCCGTGCAGCGACTTGGTTGGCCCGTTGGGTCCCCGTTCGGTCTCGGCTGGTCCTGTTGAATTTCTGGAGAGCAAGAGCTGAAATTGGCAGAGGGGGGGTTCTTTTTGGTGTTTTTTTGTTTTTTTTTTTCGTTTTCTAAACCCTAAACCCTAAACCCGTAACCCTAAACCCCAAACCCTAAAGCCTAAACCCTACACCCTAAACCCTAAAACCCTAAAACCCTAAACCCTAAAACCCTAAAACTAAAACCCTAAAACCCTAAAACCCTAAAACCCTAAAACCCTAAAACCCTAAAACCCTAAAACCCTAAAACCCTAAAACCCTAAAACACTAAAACCCTAAAACCCTAAAACCCTAAAACCCTAAAACCCTAAAACCCTAAAACCCTAAAACCCTAAAACCCTAAAACCCCAAACCCCTAAAACCCTAAAACCCTAAACCCTAAAACCCTAAACCCTAAAACCCTAAAACCCTAAAACCCTAAAACCCTAAAACCCTAAAGCCCTAAACCCTAAACCCTAAATCCTAAACCCTAAACCCTAAACCCTAAACCCTAACGCTAAACCCTAAAACATACCCAGAGAAAACCAAAAAGATACCCAAAAAAAGCCTAGCTCCGGCAGAGGGTGCGTCCCTGCACCTTTGCCCCCTTGGCGTGCCGACTTGCCCCTTGTCCTTGCCCCTCCAGCCAAATCCCCTGTCTTTCGCCGGGAATTATGCCTCTGGCACAGTGTGTAGCGCTCTTTGGCTGACGTGCCGTTTCTTCTTGCGAGTGCGCGCGCGCTGCCCCTTCCCGTGGCGTGTGTTGCATCTAATTCCCCCGCTCTCTCAGCGGAGGTTTGCCCGAATGTTTAGGGTTTTTGGGGGGCCGGGGTAGCATGCATGCGGGCGCACATGCGCGTGGGGCAACGGGCGTGCTCCCCCGATCCTCTTGTTGGCAGAGAAGGAGGAGGAGGAAGAAGAAGAAGAGGAGAAAGACGAACCCAAGAACAGGTGCTCTGTCACCTCCCCGAGCCCTTCCCCTTCTAAGAATCCTCTGTTCTTCCTGTCAGGACAGAGTTCACGTCCTGGAAGGAGCAGTGCCCCGATGCATTTCATCGCATATCCCACGGAAGTATCACGCCTCGCGATCGATGGGGTGGAATGTTGACAGCCCTTGACAACCCTTGACAGCTCTGATAGCTGATAACGGTGCGCCCGACGGTGTAACCGACGGTGTCATGGCGCGCGCTGTGTTTGCAGAGCCTCAGAAGGCGAGGGGATAGAAGAGGAAAGAGCCCGATGAACATGCCTAGGTCATCACCTGGACAAAGCAGGTTCGGTACGTGCTCAAGCAGGATGGGAAGAGTCTTCACGTGCAAAGTTGCTCCGCAAATCGGATGCAAGGAGCCAGAGCATGTCTTTCGAGACGGCAGCCCGCAGCCGGACGCGGAGCTGCAGTTCTGGCGGAGCAGGGCCGCTTTCTCGGCATGGCAAAGCCTGAGGGGAGAGAGAGAGGGAGAGAGAGAGAGAGAGAGGGGAGAAAGAGAGAAGGAGAAGGGCGGAGTGAAGCGAAGAGCGAATACGCCGAATACGCGAGATCCGGCGACGCTAGGCGAACAACCTGAACTCGATCCACATGCAGCTGCAGATGGAGGGGGTGAAGCGTGTGGGATGCCTGGTGTAGGTCAAGCAAGTCACTAAGTGACTTTGAAGTGTTGCAATTTGGTGCTCTTTTGCCGTAATCTGCCGCAATCTGCAATGTCCTTCAGGTGCTGCGCTTTTTGGAAGCTAACAAGAGCACCTACGTGGCACCTTTCGCGCGGCTTCAGAAGGAGGTCGAGGTGGCACCCCCAATTTGATGCTCACCAAATGGCGCCATGCCCTGATTCGCAGCCTTCTTTGTCGTAATCTCAGGATGGCAGAGAGGAGGCCAACGACAACGTCAAGTTCCTGAAAGCCCTGGAGCCTCATGTGGATGCATTGCTCAACGAGACCCAGGACTTCGAGGCCAGGAGATGTCCAAAAAGAGTATGCTAATTGTAAACGCTTGCGCGCGCCGCCTCGGCAGCCGGACCGGCCCCAGGACAGGAAAGGAGGAAAGCGGGTTTCGCAAAAAAAGGGGAGGAAGGGCAGCGGGGTTAAAGGGGGGGGTGGGGGGGGGTGGAGGGGGGGTGGGGAGGGGGGAGGGGGGGGGGGGAGGGGGGAGGGGGTGGGGGTGCGGGGTTTTGAGACACTCCCCCTCTAGGAGCCACCGACACGCGTCACAAAATCTTGCATGGGGGATCCGGGTGTGCTTGTTCCAGACGCTTCTCGGCAGGAAGCCGAGGCGAATATACAAAAGCAATTGTTTAAAAGCAACATATCTGCGCCCCCCCCACACCCCTCTCCCCCTCCGGGTGCCGAAGTTTTCGGTGTAAGTTCATTCTTGCAGTGTAGCTTGTGGAAGTAGCAAGGCATATGTCTGGAGTATCATGCCAAAGTGGCTCTGTGCCATTTTGGCCCCATGGGCGTGGGATCCACTGTGCTCAGGCAACAATTCGCCCTCTTTCTTTCTGTGCCGCGATGTCGCCATGTCTTCGCCCTCTATGGCTGACAGCTTCACATTCGCAGGGTAGGTACAGGGTCCTGAGCACCGTCTGTGCCCCGCAGTCGAGTAGCAGCTCAAACTCCTTACCTTGGAGGCCCTTAAGGTGCAAACGTGGGTACATGCTGGATCTTAACCATCTTGCTCCTTGACTCCGGACTTTCACACTGGTGCTGTCCATCGAGGTCAGTTCTCTGATGAAGCTTCAGACTTCACTTGCTCGTACAGAGCGCTGGGCGCACTGATCCGAGGGTGCAATGACACAAATGGCACCACCCAATGCCACTGTGCTTGGAGGTCCTCACCTCGACTTGTTTGGACTGCTTGATCGCTGCAAGTGGGACTGTGCTGAGTCCGTCGGTACGAACATTCTGCCGGACTGTGTCGACGTGAGACTGGATACCAATTCAATGACCACTGACACTGCTGAAAACTGTAGACTGCCGAAATTGCCTGCTGACCACAAAGCCCGGACAACACCAATGATCTGGATTGAACTCACCCACTTGAGTGAACTGATTGCTGGTTGCTCGTTGTCCTGGCAACACTGGCCGGGCGACTGCGCGGCAGACCCTAGTCCACGGACTGAGCTGTGGATTGGGTGATCATTGTCACAATAGCAATAGCGAGTGCCTAGAGGTCACCACTACTGCACTGTTGGCATCACTGTTCATGTGTCTTCGCAACTGCGATTGCAACATGGGCGAAGTGAGAATGAACTGCAACATGGTATAGGGACTGCACTTCAACCGTGAGCAGCTGTTATTTGACTGCTCGTTTTGGCTGATCAACACACAGCGATTCGTATTAGAGTGCGTGATCATTCGGTGTGACTGTTGCTTTAACTTTTTTCGCAACTGTGATGACTGTAATGGTTCCTGAAGTCCATCGGGACAGTGTTAGAGAGAAGTGCACCAGCACTGATCCCACTGAACCTGTGCATCTGCGCACCACGTCACTGCGACTTTACTGCTTGGCTTCATTAAGAGCCCAAAAGCACGGACTGACTGTCGGTCGTCCTTTGCTCAGTGAGTCTTGTGACTGAGGTGTTACACATATTCGTAACACTTTTTGCATTGAGGGGGGGCGGGGGGGGGGGGGGGGGGCGCCAGCATTGAGAGAGGCACTGGGGGCTGATCACGTGCGCACGTATGTGCATGCGGGTTGAAGCATGAGCAGACATAAAAGCAGTTCCTGAAAGGTCTTAGAGCAGGTCTTCGATGACGTTTTCCATGTCCTCCTGCTGGTCTGGAGGAGACTTGGAGGGGGCAAGATCTTCGTAGATGGGGTTCATGTCAGGGTTGCAGCCGCATGCCCAGCTGGACGCAACGAAGGACTTGGATTTGTAGTTTCAAGGGCCGGAGGAGTCAGAAATCGCACAAGAGCGGCCCTGATGTAAAGGCTTAAAGCCCAGTAGGTGCAATGGGGCCCACGGGGAGAACAGCAGTACGTAGCAGCACCCGACAAGTGATCCTGCGGTCACGTTTCTCCACGTTTTGCATGACAAGGCCATTGCAGAGGCAAATTGCGTTCTCGGGTCACTTGGGTTGCAGGCATTCCAAGTACTACAACTCTCTGGCGCGTCTTGCAGTCATCGTGCGCCAGATATGCAACAGCCTTGTTGCCCAGGCACTTCTTGACCTGTGCTAGTGTTAGTCGCGGCTTCACCTGAGGCTTGCGTAGCCTTGCGCAGCCTTCCCCAGACATCATCCTGTTCAGGCCACGCGCTACATCTCCGGCAGCAGTGTCTTTGAGATGATCCTTCAAAGTGAGGCAGCGTATCCGGCACAGAAGAGAAGCGCAAACGCAATCGGGAATCTTCTGAGGCCTTGGAGTGTCACCATATGCTGGAACATGTGCTGCGAGCGATCGGATCGCTGCAGGTCCTGCCCTTGCAATCGTTTCCCTCATGCTGCTGCGAGAGTATTTTGCTCTACTTTGTGCGTAGTTTCCTGTTGGCCCATGCTCTCAAGAGCTGTGAGTCGCATGGAAGGACTCGTACCAGCGCTACCGGACCCTTTCGGAGCAAGGCCCCAGCGAGGTGTCCGCAGCTCAGTGAAAAGCTTTCTGAGAGGCGTTGAGAGAACACGGCTCAGGCAGGAGGCAGCGAGCGGAAGTGTGAGAGTGTCCGTGAGAGAAGTGTGTCTCTGTGTGTGTGTGTGTGTTTGTTTGTGTGTGTCTGTGAGGGCCGTGAGGGCTGTGTGAGACATGTGTGAGTGTACTCCAATTTTGCTTCCGAAGCTGACGCTTTTGCAGATCAGAGATGAGACGAAGTTTCTATCAGTTTCTCGTTCCCATTAACTGTTTTTTCATCGTCATTCCATTTTCTCCACTGTCTCTAGCACAAGCATGAGGATTCCCCAAACAAGTACGGCCTGCGAAGGGTGAAGCCGATATGATGCCAGTGTATGATGGGGAGCCAGGAAGCCCTGACTTTTTGCAGTTCTGTATTGGCGAGATTTCTCCGTGTGTGCGTATTTAGATGTCTCGTTTCCGGGCCTTCACTGTGGGATCAGTGGTAAATGTTTTGCTAGGAGGTTCTCCCGTCACCCCTCATGTGCTCGTCGGGGTGTCCTGTGACGCTGTGCTGGGCCCTCCCAGCTGCAGGGGAGCTGGGGGACGGGTCTCTTGAGCTCGTCGGCACTGCAGTGCTCCCGTGGCATGGATCGGCTTGGCTGCTCGTCAATGATCCCCAGAGCGGGTCCCCTCCGTTTGCTTTCCGCTTCCGTGTGCAGAACGGGATCTTCTTGTGTCCGTTTCGTGCACCAATGATCGAGCTCCGCCTTGTCCAAGTGTCCTTTGAGATTCACCAAGGCCCTGGCCTCTCGCTCTCATCTGTTTAGGAATCCCTAGTTGGGAAAAAAGGCGACCCCACATAGGCTCCGCTTCTTTGTCTCGGTTTCTGAAAGTGTATTCTTTGCCTTCTTGGCGGACGTAGGTGCAGATGCTGCGGTTGCAGGGTGGTTTTGCTGGTCACTGTAGAAGTGGCTGGCCCTTTCAATTTTCTGTAGCATTTTCTGCTTCGGTTTGCTTTGCGCCGCCCTCAGCATCCTCTCTCTTTTTCACATGGCTACTGTTGCCACACCTTGCTGGGAGGACCCTGCCAAAGCCCGTGGAGACAGGACGTCCAGGGGAACGACTTGTATCTCCCGTCAGGTGACGCAATGTTGTAGCATGTTCATGACCCCAGCATGGTTTGTGGCGCCACGACAATTCGTGACATGCAGGCTCAAATAGTTGTACAACTTCACTGTCCAGCACACGGCAAGCCATCAGTAAGCCAACATGTCGTGTTTCACCGGTGAGTTGAAACGGAATTGACAAGCCATCTCTCATCATCTCTCCATTCGTGGGGCGAGGAGGTAGTTGGCGTGAGAGACCTTCGACGCCATACCGCCAATGACGCTGCGAGGGAGGGCAGGGTTCAAGTTGTGCGCGCCGTGCAGGGTCTGGTGCGCAGCGTTGTTCCCGCTCTTCGCCGTTGCTTCGACATCGACCATAGTGACATCGACCATGAGCGAAATGGCAACCACTGAGTCAACCACTGAGTCAGATTCAGCCGAGTCAACAGCGAAGACTTCGACAGACTCCCCACCCAGGGTCTTTCAATGTGATGCGCTGTCCATTCTCGGCCACAGCCACGATGTCACGCTGCATCGATGCACCGGTGGAACTTGCTATGCGACGGACATGATCTCAACCTGCGGGTGCCCCGCCCTGGCACTGTTTAGAGCTGTTTAGAGCTGTTTAGAGCTCTCATAGGTTTGCTCGGTTTGCTCATCATGTTTGCCTCACTAGACTCACTAGACTAGAAGTGTGGCCCAGTCTCTGTTCGATAGCTCCATGACTGTGGAAGACTCTAAGACTGATGCCGCAACGCTCCAACTCTTCGTGCATGCTCGGGCAACATCGTGGCAACATTCTGCATGGAATCACAACTCTCTTGTGCTTCTTTTCTGACAGGGGATACGGAACTCAATGCTGCGCACCCCGGATCAGTTTGTGCTCCTCCGGCGCAACATGCTTCGCCACAGCGCAGATTGATACCTGCTCCTTATCTGAAGTTTGAAGAGTGGAGCCTGATCAGAATGCTTAGAACCCAATCCAGCTGGAGCTAGCTTGGGTCGGTGATTGCTGAGGTATGCCTTGGGCCGCCTGCTGTGCTCCCAAAGTTACGACGTGCTTGTCCCCTTCGTGCAGCACAGACTTTCCTGCTTGCATGGAGACCTAGTGTGGCGTCGTGGTGGCTTTGTGCCGATTTATGCCGACGTGCCGAGCTGATTCGAAGCGCCCCAATTGTCTCAGTCTCTGAGTCTCTGCATCCTTTTGACCAAGGAGAGCTATGCCAGCTATGGAGAGCTATGCTTCTTGACCCACTCTGAAAGAGGGGCCCAGAATTCGACACTTGCGCGCGACCATGCAAACGCCATGCCGCCTCCACAACGGAAAATCTGCGGGCATGTAGATGATTGTAGATGCGCGGTTACGTCCGGGTGATGTCCGGGTGATGTCTGGTGATGCCCGAAAGAGGAGCGTCTTTGAGTGTTGGCAGCGGCTGGCGGCTGCGCAGTGCCGTAGTCTTCGGTCGGCTGGAAGCCTTCGGCGAGCGGGCAAGGGCCTTTGCACAACTCCTTAACCCGAAAGCACCACAAAAGCATAGCATTTCGCTGTCGGTTCGACATGCGCCCAAAAAGGTGTCGGACATTCTGGACTTTGTGAAGACTGTGCTGCAGTTCAACAAGCTCCAGCGAGTTGACATCGGAGGCGCAAACAAAAGATCGCACAACAATCGCGCAAGTACGTCGTTACCATGGTCAGGCACCAAAGGCAAAGTGCTCTCCGCTTCCGTCAGAAAGGTGGGTGTTGGGCTTCTCGACGTGACATCCGCTGATTTCCACTCCGAAGGTGCATGAAGAATTCGACAAGGCAAGTGCGGCAAGTGCGGCAAGTGCGGCAAGTGCGGCAATTGCGAAGCTCGCTTTTTGGCCGCTGGCATTGCATGCCGCTTTGCTTCTTTCTTTCCCCACTGTGGGTGTCTTGTTTCAGCCCGGTGTCCACGAGCGACTCCTGCAAACGCTCGTTGGGGGGGCTGGTGGGGGGGTGGGGGTGCGGGCCTGTTTTTGGGCGGGTGGCGAGGGGGGTGGGGGGTGGCAGCTGGTGGGGGGTTCCAGGCACATTGCGACTGCGACAATGCGAATTTACAACGCTTTTGCGGGGATGTTAAACAGTTCGCGACAAGATGCGGCGCAGTCACAAGCCTTCATGCCTTTTGCGAACATGCCCAAAGCACTGGAATTTTCAGCTCTTTCTACAACATGCGGGGCAATGCTGTTTGATGTTTAAGGGGGTCTTGGGGTTTAAGGTTGGTAAGGTTTAGGCGTACAGGGGAAACATCGACAAACGGGCCTAGGGGGGTGAGGGTTGAGGGTTTACGGGCTTTTGGTTGAAGGTTTAGGGCGTGCAGGAAAATCATCAGCAACCCAACCCTCCGGTAACGTAGCAACGTTTTGGGTTGCTGGCCCTCGTTATATGTGGGTAAAACCTCTGAAAAATTACTCAGAAGCCATGTTGTGGAACCCCTCACACGAATTAGGCTCCACAACAACAACACATACCTTAACATGTAGAAATGCGCTGAAACTCGGGTTTTTTCCCACATCGCTTTGCAAAACCCGAAAATCATTGAAGGTGCTCCTACCTTGTCTTAGCATTTCTTGTCGCGCGGGTCTCCCACCGCAGCACACCAGCACAGAACAGAGTATCCCTGGAGAGCCGCTGCAAAGCTCATTGGATCGATTTCCCTCGCCCTTTGTAGCGGCTCAACCACATTCCCCGGCATAGAATCCTACAGAGTCGACCCCTGCAATGCCCATACCCATCAATTTGCGCTTGGTTTTGGGCTAAAGTTCGAAGCATGTTCGAAGAACATCCCCTTCCTCTCTACGTCTTTCTGTGACCTCGTCTGGAGAGGCAGTGGGGGACTTTCGCTCGGAGCCCAGCCAAAACTCGCTGAGTCGGTGTGTCTTTTTCAGTTCGAAAAAGGCCTTGTTCCGGCTTAGCGGCTTAGCGCGCTGGCCAAGCCTTGGACCCGTCTGCAGGCCAGGTCCCTTACGACATCTTCGATGCCTCGGCCTTCGACGTGCTCTTTCAGAAAGAGGGAGAAAGAGAAAGTTCTCCTTTTGTTGAGGTCAAAGAGACGGACTTCATCAAAGACTTTCACGCATTTCGACTGACCATCCGTGCGCCACACAGAGAGTACATGCAAGAGCTATCGCTCTCACCTATCCGCTTCTGCTCTCGCATTTCTCCGGTTTTGCCCTGCTCTCGCTTTGCTCTGCTCGCGAGCCCCCCCCCCCCACTCCCCTTCCCTTCTCCCACTGTATCTTCTCCCATCTCCTCGGCCGTGCCAGACACCTTCACACCGTGTCGCACCGTCCACCCCACGAGAACAAACTCGAACGAGCGCAGCGCACGCGTGGGGTGCACGCGTGGGGTGCGCGCGTGGGGTGCGCGCGGGTGCGAAAGGCGACCTGGACCGGCGCCTGGGCAGCATCCTGGCGGCGGCCTTCCAAGACCAGGACACGCTGCACGGCCGCGCGAAGCTTCTGGATGCCTTCGAGGACCCGCCTTTATCCCTGCAACGGCAAGGGAGAGAGAGCCCTCTGCACTTACCAGGGTGCATCATGTCTTGCAAGGGGGAGGCACTCCCCTGTGTAAAAGTCATTGTTTGAAGCCCAAAGCCGTTCGTGAAAAGGCTCTGCAAATGGAGATCTCCTCTCCGTTCTTTTCCCTCTGCGCTCAGGGGCTGCTGGAACGGCCCGTGCTCCAAGCGGAGCTTGTCCGGAAGCAGCAGGCCATGTGCGCTCATGTGCGCTCGCAGTGAAGGACAGAAAGTCGCTCAGAGAGAAAGCGTTTCAATGCATGATTGTTTGAGTGAGCATGTTTTCTCTCAGTGACTCAGTGAAAAATGCTCTCAGTGAAACGAACGTTACGAGAGGGAGGGAGAGAGATAGCCCTTCACTTTGTGAGAGCGTAGAAAGTTGCGTATCGATGCCACACGCAATGGGCGATTTGCCTCGTTTGGCCGATGTCCTTTGCTTGACAGAGTTAACAGTCACAGAAAGAGAGCTGTGTTGCGAAGTTGTCCTTCGTTGTCCTGCGGCAGATCTTGATTGGCCAGTACAAGCGTGACGTGGAGGAGTTGGAGGTGCGGGGTGTCCTGGGGTGTCCTCCCTGAGGGGCAGAAGGAGCAAATCAATCGTGGGCCCTCTCGTGTTGGGAGGCCAGCTTCATGGCCAACGTGGAGCGGGTGGAGGGCTACGAGCAAGGCGGGGAGCCCAACCCAGAGGGCCCCCCCCCCCCACTATCCCCACTCTTGCAATATTAGTGAAAACACGGGCGGGGTAAGACACTCGCAGTGGCTTTCGGCTTTCGCTCTCTTATCAGATGTTTTAATGCAAACGCTTCCTCAGATGCACCCCTCTTCTACAACCTTCCGCCTGTGGCCGGAGCCCTCTCCTGGGCACGCAGCCTGCGGATGCGTCTCCAGGACTCAGCGAGAGAGAGAGAGAGAGAGAGCGGCTGCGAGAGAGGCAGCCGCAAATTTTTTCACTGTCTTGCAGAGCCTTCTCAGAGCCTTCTCAGGGTCTTTCGAGTACTTTCCTTGAGGACCCCATGCCCAAGATCCTGGCCTGCAATGAGCTGCTGCCACGCGGCGAGGCCCCTTTCCATTGCGGAAATGCGGAAATGCAGCCTTGGGAGCTGCTTGGGATCCTCTGCTTCAGGATGTTGCCCAAGAGATCCCAAGAGTTGCTTCGGGGGGTCCTTTTCTGTTGTTGCTTTCTTTCTGGCTTTCATGTTTTTCTCCAGTCTTTCAGTCTTATCTGCTCGTTTTGCATTTGCATTCGTTTGTAGCTTCCACGCGCTCGGTTCGTTGCATTCTGAGTGTTGTGTTACAAACAACGATGGCTTCTTGTCAACACCGCTATTATGAACCCAGCCCAAACCCTAGTAATAGCTACGACAAGGCCTACTTCCGATGATGCCTGCCTCTTCTACTTTTGGGCAAAACCATTTTGTCAATGCTCTGGCGCCTCACCGCGTCGAGCGGAGAACCACATCAAAACCTGAGAGCCAGACATCATGCCGACCTATGTTGGCTCAGGAGACTACTGTTGGGGTGCGAAAACAGAAAGTACAGAAAGTACAGAAAGTACAGAAAGTACAGAAAGTACAGAAAGTACAGAAAGTACAGAAAGTACAGAAAGTACAGAAAGTACAGAAAGTACAGAAAGTACAGAAAGTACAGACAGCTGGAGATTGTCTAACTTGCCTGCTTGTGTGTGCTTCTGTGTGCCGAGGTCACCCCACATACTTTTTCCATGTCCGGGTTGCCCTGGGTTGTTCTCGTAATGCTGGCGGGGGCAATGGCGTTGGCTGCGCGGGTCGGGTGCGGTACCCGCCTGCCACTACAGCAGGAGTTTCTCCCACACGTGAGAACTCCCTGGAAAACTGCTAAGGCAGTGAAGCACGCACAGAGCGCATGACGTGCGCTTACAAGCATCGGGCCTGCCCTTTGAGCGTCAGGGATCGTCCTGATGTCCTGAAAAAACGTTTCTGCGGGCAACACAAAGATTTTTGGAAAGTTCGGTTTCCGTTTTGGATCAGCCTTTCCTTCTGCACAGGAGAAGGCGCAAAAGCCGGGAATGGGACGCCCCCCCACTACACCTGACTCCACCTCCTTTTCTTGCCCACCCCTGACCACCCCCTTTCCCTTCCAGTTCTGACATGATACCAGAAAACGGGTCGGCAGTCTTGGCTTTAGCTGCAGCTTCAGCAACCAACTTGGCAGTCTCAGCGGCCTTCTCTACCGCCTCGTTCCGGCGTTTCTCTTCTAAGTCCATGCGTCTCATGAGGCAGCTATCAACTGCTGGTTCTGTTGGTTGCCGGCGCCAGGTGCCTTCTAGCTTCAAGGAGCTGGAGGCGCTGCACGCCAGGACCTTGCAGGCTTCGCGATGCCCTTCGCGCTGCTTTGGCTTTTTTCGCTAAAGTTCGCGCAGTTCGCACAGTGTGACGAAAAAAGATTGCAGACCTTGGACGACTTTGAGAAACGGCGCTACTCCGAGTGGAAGCTCGAGGCTGGGGCAGTGAATTAAGCAAGCCAATGCACCGTGCCCTGAAGGCTCCAGAGCAGCTGGAGTTCAGGGCCTTCCCACTCTCTGGGGGGCCTGGAGCTTCCTAAGAGGATCTAAGAGGTCTTAGAGCCGCCATCCGGCGAGCAAGGAAAGGCCCAGGGAGAAGGAGGTTCGAGTCGCCAAGGAACACTTGCCATCATTTGCCGACCGCTGCACGTTTTCTAGCTTGAGGATTTGATTTGCCATCACGTGGGCTCAAGTGAACATTTGGAGGCACTTAGTGCAGTTTTGGTTACCGTAACGATGAGGACTACTAGAACCACACTGCGGGGGCCTGGGATCAGGGGGGCGGGGTTCGCGACCATATGTCAAGGACAGTAAATGATTATAACTTGACGTCGCGCACGAAGGGCTTTGAGTGCGGCTCAGCCCAAATCCTCCTGATGTATTTGTAGAGCTCCGGATTGTCGTACTGCTTGTCGAAAAGTCGGAGGTGGGTGAAGCAGCAAAGCGGCTTCACCTACGCCTCCTGCGTCGGCACGACAGGACCTTCGTCGAGTTTCCCATACGTCGAATCGGTCAATTATCGTTTGAGAGCCGCTCAGTGTACAGAATGTCATAATGTTGTAGAGGACGGGCCTCTTGAAAGTGAACTTCGACCCTGCCCTGGTCCGCTTGCTGCGCGAGGCACACGTGGTAGTCATGTGATAGTGTGACCGCGTGTGCAGCTCAGAGCCACAGTGCCACAAGAGTGCCACAAGAGTGCCACAAGAGTGCCACAAGAGTGCCACAAGAGTGCCACAAGAGTGCCACAAGAGTGCCACAAGAGTGCCACAAGTTGAGTTTTCTGGTAGGTGCGGTTTTTTCTGATCTATGGCTTGGAGGTGAGTGGGCTGCTCTCGGAAGTTTGCATTTGCCACTGCGAAGTCTGCGAAGTGCAAAGGTTCCAGATGAGGCGTTGACCATCTATAGCATGGTGGACACTTACCGGAGATGGACCAGCCAGCCGGTGCCCCACAGAATAGCACAGCACGTACCCCCAAAGTTTATGCTCTAGGCCTTGACTTCGCTAGGGCCACGAAGCTGCTGAGTTGACATCCCTCCTCGTGGCTCCCAAAGGTTGGACCACATCGTGGAGCTCTACAACTCGGTCCTTACAGACCTCTTACCGGTGGAGGAGAGTGGAGATGTCTCCCCTCCCTGCCCCTCCCCTCCCCACCTCCCCCCCCTCCCACACGATGCTTCGGCGTAGGAACCCTTGTTGGAAGACCGGATCATGAAGATGGACAACGCGCTGGCCGGGAGCAGATTTCAGATGGCCTCCTCCCCTTCCGCCTTCCCCGTTTCTGTCGTTCCTTTTGTGACTTTTTCCCGGCTTGTCGTTGCTTTTCGGGGGATGTGAGCAGCTTGTGGCTGCCCCGTTAAGGCCCCTGGACTCACGGAGCTGAAGTGGTCGCGTGAAGATCGGATACCCGACTTCATCGCTGGAGCCATGAAAGTAGTGAGCGATGTCTCGGCAATCGTCGACATCATGAAGGCAGGGCAAGGTCAACCCAAAAGGTCAAGATGCGCACACACCACGTGCCTCTCGGAGATCCAAAGCCGTTCCACTGCAGGGGAACCTGCGCAAGATCTCCGGCATCCTCTCGCAGTGGTGCAAGGACTCGATGCGCCTCGGCTCAGAGACTTCGAAGTTTGCGACAGATTGCAAATTGGTGCAAGATTGGCCCATCTCGCTTCATCATGCCCCCCCCCCCAGGCTGGAGAGGAAACGTGGAGCCAAGCCGGTGTCTGTCGAGGAGTCTTGTGCCGTCACTGAATGTCATCGCTTTCGTCTTCGCGTTGCACTTTGTAGGAGTTCGAGCAAAACCACAAAGCGCGCGTCGGAGTCCGGCTGATGAACATGACGGCCAGCAGCCTAGAAGATGCCTGGAAGACACCCGGAAGACAGTGAAGACATGGAGAGCTTCGGAGCCCAAAGCTGAGGATGGCGGCAAGGAGATTCACCGCCACTGGCCTGAGAGAGGGCTTCGAAAACATGATCTATTGTGACCCCCCTTCCACCTATGCTTTCGCACATCTTTGTACTAACATGACGTAGCATTTCAAGAGACCCTTTCTCTCCCGGTCCTTGCATCTCCCTACACGGTTACACGAAGAGCTGCATGACGCTCATGTATATTGTACGGTGAGTCCGGTTTGCCAAGTGGGTGAGCAGCATTACGGATGTTGTCAGTACGCAGATGAATGGCAGAACATGGAGCACACAACCTCGACATTGCAAATTTTTATGTTTGGAGTAGAGTATCCATTTTTGAACAAAGCAGTTGAGGCAATAAACCCGTGGAAGAGAATGCTTTCGTAAGCCCAGGGCAGCAATGCCCTTCAGTTGCAGGAGGGACCCAGACAATGACTGCCTCCTTGGAGTGTGGACAGCAGGGGAACAAACCGTAGAAAGGCAAGCGAGTCGTCCAGCGCGACTCAAGGTTCAAGAAAAGGGGTGCAACAGTGGCCAGCAAAAGCATGAAGCAAAACAAACCAAAAGCAACAAAAGCACATTTCGGTAGCCTGGGCCGGGATCTCGGACCGGTCTCGGACAGGTAAAGCTGCCTGAGACGGAGAACCAGACAAAACGACAGATTTAGCCCCAAACGGGTCCACCCGGCGAATTCAAGAGCAAACATCCATTCGAGAGAAGGAAGGAAAGATGAGAAAGCACAAGAGAGAGAGGGAGACAGAAGACGCAAGGCTACGTGAAGGACTCCAGCGAGTCCCTGAAGATCTCCAAGTCCGCCGTGACCTGGAAGGCGCCGGGGCTTCAGCGGTGCTCGATGCCCAGGCTTACAATCCTTGCGCCGCGCACTCCTTGTGTCTTCTTTTTGCCCTTTCGCTTTGTCTCGCACAAACTGTCAAAAAAAGAGGCATGTGTATATGTTGGACAGGAAGATGGGCAGAACACCGGTACGATGTACCATTTTGCTACCAGTGAAGTGCAAGCTGTCGTTACAAGGAGTGATATACTGAGTGGGCGCACAAGATTAGCAGTAACTCCCGATCAAAGTAGGGCTAGGACAGCGTCTAGAAGTGCAGGTTGTGAGTTTTCTTTCGAGTTTTTGGAGTCTTTAGAGTCTCTTCATGAGAGGCCTATGTGGACTTCGTGAACAACGTCGTCATCGAGGGCTTCGTCTCTGCCATTGCCGTTTCCCTGCAGTACCCTGACTGTGTTGAATGTCGTTTGAAAGAGTCCTATTTAAGAGGCTGCGCCCAGGGGCGGGCAACGCCCCGAGGAGGCAGAGGCATGAAAAAAAAGCAGCTCCCAAAGCGTGGGCGCGTGCGCCTGCCTGCCTCCGACAGAGGCATCACGAGCATCATTCCCCCCCCCCCCCCAGCATCATGAGCATCATTGGGCCCCCGCTTCTCCTTGTTGGGGCCATCGGCACCGCTCCCAAGGGGGATGAAAATCGCACAAAAACGCTGTCCCTGCCGAGGCGGATATTGGAGCCCTTCTTCCCGAAACAGCGACGCCGCTGATGCCCATGATGCTCGCCGGGCCCCCTAAAAGGCACCCTTTTTCAGGTCGAAAAAAGCTCAAAATCATCGGTATGGGCGGCGTTTCCTGCTTTGGAATGCTTTTGAAGGTGCTCTCGCGTCCCCGCCCCGATCCGGCCCGGTCCGGAAAGGGCCCGGGAGGCCGCGCAGGTCCCATGATGCCCTTCGGGGGCGGGGTCGGCGGCCCTGCGCGCCCAGCTCCTTTGCTAAAGCAAGGGCCTCCGCCCTGGCGGACACACAGAGGGGCGTTGCCGGATTTAAGGGCTGACGCCGCCGGGCCTTTTGGGCTCTGTGGGGGGGTGGGTGGGTTGGGGGGGGGGTAGGGGGTAGGGGCGCGGAACTTGTTTTGGTGGCATTAAAATAACGGAGGAGGGAGGAGGAGCAGGGCGGGTGGTGCGTGGCAAGGCAGCGGGGGTTGGCGCACCACTTGCCATGCAAGAGGCTTTTTTGGGTTATTTCTCTCAACATTCCGCAGGTACCTCTGCGAGATCCTCGATCCGTTGATCATTGCCCGGCACGAGATGCTGCCCCTCTTTGTGCTTCCACTTAGAAGTTGCGCGAATTCCGCAGTGCCACAGTGTACCTTCGTAGCTTCATGGCTCGTTCCTTTTAAGAGTTTCTGGCATCACTGAGGATGTAAAGATCGAGCTGCAGGGTGACGAAATTGTCTTTGACCCACCATTCGAGGATCAAAAGTGCCTCGTCAGTTTGCACGCATCTGACCAATAAATATGAGCACTCGGCGAGGACGAAGATACGCCAAGCCGCACGACGCTCCGCCACACCATCGATGGCTGGCTCAAGGACTTCTTTGCAATGGCCACGGTCATGGTCCTTTGCCTTAGGCTTTCTTAGGCCTCTGCCGATAGACGCCGAAATGATATTGTTGCAGCTACTAAGGTGCGCCTGGACTCCAGCATGGGCGACTACCTGAATGAAATAAAGGAGACGTGTCGCAGTCGCGCTGCTCGATTTCCCCTTTTCCCGGAAGCGCAGTCAAGAGTTCGGAGAGGAGCACTTCCAAATGCAGTGCCTACTCTCGCTCGTCTCGGAGCTGCTCCTTGGCTTGTGCACATGCCCCCCAATGTGCTTTTCTCTCGCCTTTTTGTTTTCTTTCTCTTTTCTTCATTTCTTTCGCCCCCCCTCACTAGAGAGTTTCCAGCAAAAAAGTTGAGCCCTGAGAGCCGCTGCTACTTCTCTACTTCTAATCTCTCAACTCGAAGAGAGCGCTCAACTCAATGAGAGAGCTCACTCACTGAGAGATAGACCTACAAAGAGAGAGAGAGAGAGAGAGCTTTCTGACTGAAAAAGAGAGAGAGAGAGAGAGATCTCAACATTTCCACCACATAGGGCCATCAACGAATGGTACCTACACTTTCACCGGGACAGAACAGCGGGCCAGCGTGGCCGGGGTCCTCTTCGGGGGGCCTCTTCGCTGAGCAGAAGAAGAAGAGATCTCAACAGGTCAGTGAGAGTCAGAGATATGGGGAGAGGGCAGAATTTTGACAGAGAGAGCGTGTGGACTCGCTGAGAATTTATTGGCTGAATGTTGCATTCCAAGGATCGACAACACTGAGTCCAAGTGCTTGGAGTACCGTGAGAATTTCATGACGCACTCCTTTCTTTGGACCGACAGTGCCAGGGCCTTCGAATTCCCAAGGAGGACTCCACCCTCAAGTTGCCTCAAACCTTTCTCAGCGTGCAGGTCGAGAAGACCTTCGACCGGTTCTTGCAAGAAGATCCCAAGGACGCTCCCAAGCCAAGTAGAATGCCCTGATCCTGAGAGTATGGCTAGCGCATGTGATCGCGCGTGCGGGCGAAGGCACGGGCACCATAGCATACGCTTCTTGCACATCCGCCCGCACGTGCTTTGCGCGCTGTTCAGTGAGAGGCACGTGTTGGAGTAAGCACTGTTGTATTGTTAGACTGCTAGGTTAGCACTTCTTGCTGACATCAAGCTCGAGATCAATACTCCTAGACAACAACGGCCCATTGACGGTATTTCTCTGAAATCTGATATGCGGATGACACCCTCATATTCGGGACGCAGACACATTGCGTTAATGTCCTTTTGCATGCCGTTGAAAGACACTCAGCATATTGCGGTCTCACTTTCAATTATGAAGAATGGCTGCTGCGAATTAAAACCAATCTTCAATCAGATTCTCCCCCACAGGTCGGCCCAGGAGAAGTTGGTAAGTCTGCCCATACTTTGGCCTTGGAACCATGCTGCAGTTTTCAGCAGAATCGGCGGCTGCGTAGCTACATGCAACCGTTCGAAGTTGTTTTGGAGTAAAGCCAGTACCAGCATCAAATGGAATTCAAGTATTCAATGCTATCATGCGCCCGAAGTTGCTATAGAAAAATAGAATGAATGTTTACGGCTTGCTGATGCTGAACTATCGAAACTCAACGCCTTGCAGAACAAATAGTTGCGAAATCCGAAATCTCGTAATCTCGTCATCTAGCAATGAATCTAGTAATCTAGCTATTCATCTAGTAACGCAGTCATATAGTAATGGAGCGTTATAGTTGACGAGTTTCCTATCTCACGAAGATGAACACGACGGGATTGGTGCAAGAGTGCAGAAGGGTGTACAAAAGTGTACGTGTAGTTGTGGCATGGGGCCCGAACATGTGTGCAGGGACTGGGTTGGCTGGAAACAGTCGCGCCAAAAAAGAAACTTGAGAGCTCTTTGAGACAGTTGTGCCGTTGTGCCTCAGCGCAGTTGTTGTGACTCGTAGGAGCTGGTCGAGTTTTTTGAGGGCGGCATGAGCTTCCGCGAGATTATGCACCGCATCAAGGCGACGAAAGAAACTCAAGTCATCAAGCATACGCTTTGGCTTGATGGGTTTCGGATCGCGAGAGGTCGATCTAGGACCCGCCATTCCGCCCCTGGACCACTTTGAGAAGGAAGTCGCGCGCTTCGAGCACCTGAAGCAGGAAAGGGGGCGGCGCACAGCCAAGCCAACATGCTGCCGTTTTGGACTCACACGCTTCTTATGAAGAGGAGCTGTCCATGAAAAAGACCCCCACAGACATCCATTGGCTCCGGATCGACGCGCAGCCCGTCAAGGTGAGTTCTTGACATGCATTTGTTTTTTCGCTTCTTTCATGTCGTGATCGCGGCACACCTCAGCTCGTCACAGCTCGGCACAGCTCGCTCCACAGCTCCTTGCAGCTCTTTGCACAGCTCGCTTCACAGGTCACCTTGGTGAACTGTGCCCGCAGATGGGAGGAGAAGTATACGGGCTTCCTGCGAACCTTTGTCGAGGAGCTCTCGGAGAGTCGCTGTGTCAAGTTGACAAAATTCAGAATGATGTGAGAATGCCTCGTAAAGCGCAGGACCGCATCGCCTCTCTCAGCTCGTTCATTGACTCAGTCAGGACTTCAAGTGAGTTTCCTTCTAAGGCGGCGGACATAACTCTGTGAGAAGTGCAGTTGCGGGTTGCGGTCGCTGTGCGGTAGAACGGCGTTGACAGCACGGTGCTGGAAACGGTAAGTCAAGAGAGTTCTCCGAGCCTGCGAAGGATGGGCTTGGGGCCTCCCTCGGCGGCCGAAAATCCCGAGGTCTCTTGGGCTTCCTACTTGTTGCCCTCTTTCTTCGAGTCTCTCTCTATGTCTCTGTGTCTTTCTTTGTCTCCTCTCGAAAGTCGCGAAAGTCGTCTTGGGACGGTCCGCTCTCACTCCTTTCTCTCCCCTCTAGGATGAGCGGCTGCTTTACCAGACGCACCGGCCCTCAGCTTCTGCAAAGTGGAGTGACAGTGGAGCATCAAGAGCGCCTTCAGGGTTGCAGCCACGACCATACACGCCTTCGTGAAAAAGCAACATCTCTCTACCACAAGAAGAAAGAGAGAGAGTCGTTTTGTTGATGAGAGCTCAGAGAGAGTCGCTCTCTCACGTTTTTTACTTCGAGAGGATGACCAAGATCCGCGATGTGAAGCTGGCGCGTGGTGCCATGCAGAGGTCAGAGGAAGTTTCGAGTGGGTACTTCTTCTTCTTCTTTTTCCCTTCTTCTTCTTCTTCTTCTTCTTCTTCTTATTTCTCTCTCTTTCTTTCACTCACTTTTTCACTCCCACTGAGAGCTTCTTGCTTTGGCCCTCCCCCTTCTTCCCTGCAAGAGACCCGCTCTCAGTGTCGTGCCTGCCGTAATGATTGCGCGTCTGTGTGCGATAGGCTCTTCCACCCTTTGCGTGAGCAGGCGTGCTTGACTTGCCATCTGACACTCAAGCTTCTGCTCACACTGCTTCTGCTCATGTCAGAGGTGCAGGTGCTGAAGAAGCACCATGCGCCCATCTCGGAGGAGACCGAAAGCTGCCATCTTGCTTGGCTCCCGTTGTCTTTTTCTCTTTTTCTCTTTTTTTTTCTGTTGTGCTCTCTTTTCGTCAGGAGCGTTGGAACAGCCTGGAGCAGGCACCGGCGCACTGGGCCGAGGCGCCTCGCGACATCGGGCAATGTTGGACAAAACGCCCCTCCGGCCCTCCGGTCCGTTTTGTCTCCGCAGCGGTGTGACATGGGGCGGCCTTCCACAAAGCGCACAGCCTACAGAGCAGATGAGATGCCGTCTTCGAGAAATGTCGTCTTCTTTTCAGCTGATCATCGCAGCGTTCAATCGCCGAGCAGCATTCAATGTACAAGCAATGTCAACGAAGGAATTAGGACAATGAGAGCAGGAATTTTAACGCGGAGCGGCGAGGCGCCCCATGGCGCTCAGGAGGTTCGACACACGCCGTCATGGCCACCGCTGTTCCAGAGCAGACAGCGGTGCAGGTAGAGTTCTGCAGGGTCTAGGCAGGTTCCGCGCGGAGGGTGTCGGGGTGGGAAGGGTTGGGAATGGGGGATTTCAGACCCTGTAGGAGATAGACGTTTTCCGCGGACATCTAGAAGTATAAGACATTTCTCATGAACAAGATGTAGCAGTCGTTTCCCTAGGAAAATGTGGGCAATTACAGAATGAGGAAGGGGTGCCGATGAGCATGTCTGCACGTCTTCGCTTTTGAAATACATAAGAGGGTTAGAAAAGGGAGAGATGAAGGAAATAGAGGTTGAACATATACGCAGCAGCTGCTAAGAAACATAAATTTGCCGAAGAAAGTCTAGAGGAAATGCGGTTGCTTCGGAAAATATGGAGGCAGCAAAGGTTTCCTTCTCAAAAACATAATAGAAGAAACAAAGGTTTTCTAGGAAACTTGTGGAGGAAATGCGGTTGTCCGTTAAGAGGTGTCAGAAGCTTCTTATTGGAACATAGAATAAGAATTGACTAGTAAACTCTAGAGAAAGAGACAAAACATATGACGAAGAGAAATCGGAAGGGCTGGGGTTTTTGCAGGCTATGTTTCCCCCCTCAGCCTCCTGGCCCGGTGCCAGGAGGCTGACGGGGGGGAAACCTGCACGTGCCGAATTAGAACCCGGCCCATTCAAAGAGCTGTTTGGGCCGAGCTGTTCGGTCGAGTTCAACAAGCTGTTGGCGCGCGCTATTTGGTCAAGTTCAAAGTGTCAAACGAAGCATGTGTGTGTGTGTGTGTGTGTTTGTCAGGCACTTCGTCTCACGAGATTGAACTGATTGAACTGATCGGCCTTTGAGGCTCAACTGTAGGGCGGGACCTCGGGGAGAAACATGAGCCTCTCGTGCGGTTAATTGCTGGTTGCGCTGTGTTCCAGATCCAGGCTCCGCTTAACTGCTTCGATTTGTCATTGGTAGCAACATACTGGTGGAGCGCGCAGCCGGTATGTGCTACCTGCCTGGCACTGACCCCCAGGACTCGGGAGGATCTGGCGCAAGTGGCGCTGGTTCTGGTGACCTTGAAGACGAGTCTTATGACTTTGGCTCTGGCTCGGGCGCGGGACCTGAGGATGATGCGCACAGCACCGACTCTGCTGATCTGCACCACCGGCGGCGTCGTGGCTCCAGGGGCGGTCACAAGACCTCGGCGGGCTCTTTTGTTCAAGAGAAGCGTTGGAGATCCGGCGAATGAGCAGGCTTTGAGGGCTTTGGAACAGCTACGTGGTGAGGCGGAAAGCGAGTTCGAAGAGGTGAATGACAGCCGCTTCAATCGAAGCGATGGCATCAAGGTGCTGCCTGGCGAACTGGAGGCAGCTTTTGGCGAGCGCGAGATCTTTCGTCAGGGTGGCGCGACCACGGAGTGCTATTTGGTCGAGTTCAACAAGCCGTCTTGGCGCGAGCTATTTGGTCAAGTTCAAAGAGCTGTTTCAGCGCGAGCTAATTGGCCAAGTTCAATTAGCTTTTTTGCCCGAGCTGTTTGGTCAAGTTCAAAGACCTGCTTTGGCGTGAGCTGTTTGGTCAAATTCAAAGAGCTGTTTTTGCACGAGCTATTTGGTCAAGTTCAGAGAGTTGCTTTGGCGCGAGCTATTTGGTCAAGTTTACAGAGCTGTTTTGGCGAGAGCTCTCTGGTTGAGTTCAATTTGTCCATTTTTGTGCGAGTTATTTGTTCAAAGAGCATAAATCTGTTTCCGCGCGAGCTATGTGGCATCTTCTAACATTTTTCACACACACCTTTTGGACAATGGTCGATGCTACAAAGTTAGAGGAAGTCTATGCCGCCTTGTTGGCCTCATGTTTCACACGCCTCCCCCTTTATTCATATTGTATAACCCAAACGGCGTGAGGTGGAAAACGCAAGGGAAAACGGGGACCCGCAAGGGACCGGCGGGGACTTTTTTCGTGGGAAGCAGGGGACCGGCAGGGATCTGGCAAAGACGGGGCCCGCCGGGACCGGTGCGGTACCCAGAGGTCAGAGCAGTCTTGGCCCGAGATATTGGGTCAAGTTCAGGGAGAATCCTGGCTTGGAGCCGTGCCCCTTAAGCAATTATACCAATTGCAGTATTTAATTCGCCAGAGTGGGTTTTCATTAATTAGATGATTTTGTGTGTTGAGCAGGAGAGCACTACCCACAATTCCTTTTCAGGCAAAGACAATGAAAGTCCGAATCTGAAATTGAGCTGGCTTGCTGACCTGATCTATACATATCTGTGACCGATTTGGCATTGCTCATGGCCTGGAGCCACATCCCTTACGTAAGTCACTTCAGCAAGTTGGCTCAAACTATTTAGCTTGCATGTCAGAGCGAAAAAATACAAGCCTATACTATATGAGGGGTGGAGATTGTTTGTTTTTGCATTTGGGGGGATCCGATTGCCTTTGCTTTGCACCTGTTGGCAGGGTTTGGATTTTTGTTGCACTTTTTTTGGGTCTCCTGGTCGTTCTATGACTTTCACGCATGGTTTTTTTTCGCCCCCTACTTTGGGTCCCTTTACACCTGCTGGCTTTTTTCTCTGGGGCAAACCAGCCCAAATATGACCACCCCCCCCCCCCCCCCCCTTGCATTTGTTAATTCTGAAATGCAAGTTAAATGGTTTCGGTTGGTCCAAGGAATGGCCGCTTTATTGGCACAGCAGTGAGCCGATGAGGGGTACGTTTCGAGCTATACTGGGCCAGCAGCTTCGCATTTCCGACATTTTATCACATAAGCCTCCAAGGAGGAAGGTACATGGATGCTGCCCATGATCTTGCCTTGAGTTTGTACGTTCGCAATGTCCAAGCCAGTCGGTTGAAGCAACCTGGAGCTGCTTCTCAACCCTGCGCATGCAGACGTGATGATTCGTGCAGTTGCTCCTCTGGTCTCCATGCCTCTCGCAAGGAGTGTGTTGTCTCTTTCTTTCTGCTCGAGGTGGACCGGGCAGCTTTCAACGAGAAAGAGAAGATTTTGCCGCTGCAGAACCAGGTTGGGCCCTCTGTCTCACAGGTTAAATATGCAGACGGACGGACATACGGACGGACAGACAACAGCCATGCTGAAAAGTTTTTCGTCAGGAGATGCAAAAGATCCGCGTCAAGATCGAGGGTTTTCGTGAGGATGTGCGGAACTTCCGGGCCGAATTTCTGGAACGGTGCCCTTTTGGAAGTGCGAGCCTCTGCCTGAAGATGCCTCAAAATGCCTGAAGTGCTCGTTTGCTCTCTTAGGTGAACATGCTGTCACTGGTGCGTATGACAAAAGTGCCTTGGACCTCCATACAGTGTCGTGCTTTGGAAAACCCAGGAAGTGACACGTGTTCAAATCTGAAGCAGCAGACTGACATTTCTCAACTGTAGGCTCAACTGTACCAACCGAAGAAAGCACATATTACTAGATATTCGAAGCTCCTCAAGCGAGGCTACGCCATCATCAACGAGTACTACGGCAAGACCATGGAGATCCAAGCCCGAGCTGAACAGTTCAACGCCGCTCGGCAAAAGAGAACCGCGAAAGGGCGGGGAGGGGGGGGGGATGGGGGGGGGGGGAGGCACCTCATGGCACCTCGAATTTGCAAATAATTGGTAATAATTCTCTCATTTTTTTTTTACCCGCCTGTTTTGCACGCTTCTGTAAATTTCTGATTGTGCCTTCAGAAGAGAGCAGAGAGCAGGATGACATGAGAGAGAATTGAAAATGAGGGAGAGCGAGAGAGAGAGAGAGAGAGAGAACAAGCAACAGAGAGAGTAGGAGCAGAGAGGCTCCAGACCCAATAACCTTATGCTCAAACCCTAAATGAAATGGGAGTGGGGTTCGGGAGAGCGAGCGAGCGAGAGAGAGAGAAAGAGAAGGAGAAGGAGAAGGAGAAGGAGAAGGAGAAGGAGAAGGAGAAGGAGAAGGAGAAAGAGAGAGAGAGAGAGCCTTAATTGATTCTGCAAACATATCTCCTCCATCCCACGGCATCTGGCGGCCTACATGCTGCCGGTGCCCGCTAGAAAGCGACCCGCGAATATGGTGGGGTTTTCGTCGCAGACAAGACATCGGACTTCGCGAGACTTTCGGGGCAGCCCTCGGGAGGGTTGAGCGTGTGGAGAGGGAGAGGGAGAGGGAGAGAGAGAGAGAGAGAGAGAAAGAGGGAGAGAGCGCAGAGGGAGAGATAGAGAGAGCGAGAGCAAAGCGAGAGGGCAGAGAGAGAGGAGAGCAGAGAGAGAGAGAGAAGCCCCGTGGTAGTAACCTGCATGTTTTCCCCAGGCTGCTTAGGCTAAGGGCGGAAACATCTACTCAGAGGTTTGTCTTGGTTGGTGGGGGTGCAACAACTACTGGGGGGGGGGGCAATCCTGTCCCCTGTCCCTTAGCCCTTTGTGCGGTGTTATGTATGTTTCCCCGATTTCCGTGTCACACCGACTCCGAACGTGACTGAGTGCGCTCGCGCGCGAGGGAGTAGGGACACCTGCCCTGCCCCTCAAGGCCTGCAGAAGAAGAAGCAAAAGAAGAAGAATAAGCAGAATAAGAAGAATGTTCAGCAGCAAGAACAAGAAGAAGAAGGAGAGGAGAGCAGAGCGAGAGCAGGGCATATCGCACTGTGACGAATGCGTACGTGAGGATCTGGAGTTGCTCTTTGACATGGCGATGTCCGACTACCGTCCCTTGCCAGGGGCCAAAGTGGAGCTGTGTCAGCGGGCACCCGATACTACCTCACACACACACACATCTTGATGTTGCAGCTGGACTTCTGGCTGTGGTGAATCGAAGAATCGAACTCATCACAGCGAAGAAGTGAACAGCATGCGGAGGGCTTTCTTTCGTTCATGTTTGTTCCACTCATTTCCACTCCCTCCCCCAGAGTGTCTTCGGCAATGGAACAGAGCGCCCGGGCATGACACACACACACACACTCTCGCTCATGCACGCCTTTGATGAGTTCGTCAGCACGCTTACAATGTGCCTGTCTTTTGGGAACACGCGTCCCGGTTTTCGGGCTCATTTCTTTTCCAAAAGGAAGCTGTTTTTCTCCTGGCATCTTTCGCACTGCGGTGGAGCTGAACAGGCTGTAAAGTTCTGCAAAGGTCCGGTGAAAGCTCGAAAAGATGAAAGCTGCTACACAATGTGATGCCCTAGCCTGGAAAACTCGCTTTCCCAGCTCATGAGTTTGAGAAGGATCTTGTGTCCTCACGCGAAGATCCAACAGCAAGAACATTGGGAATGTGAGTGCAGAGTATCCAGGAATGACTGCCTGAGCAATCTGGTCCTGTTGAAGAACCTTTGGGCCGCGAGCTGAGCGGAGCACCTTAAAGCGCCCAAGTTGTTTGAGACGCCAGTATTCTGAAGTCCCTAAGCCATGAATGATTCGCTGGTCATGTCGCCTGCGCCCAGTGCTCCGGGCCTCCGGAGGGCCACCTGTCTCAGGACCTGATCGTGCTGGTGCGGGAGACCTTCTCGGCCTGGTAAGAGAGGGGTGAACTTTCGTTGAACTCTCACGTGTCTCCTCCCCTGGATTCCCAGAGTCGAGACCTTACGCAAAGGAGGGAGAACTCAAGACGGTATCAGGCACGTACTTGGGAGAGTATAAAAGCACACTTGCAGCGCGACCCTATTCAAAGCGCTGCTGTCGTGTTCTGCAACGCTTTCAATTGGGAGGTACACAGTGCCCTGGGAGAAGATCGACACGGGGCAGATGCTGGTCACGGTTCGTGAGCTCGCGCAGCAGGCGTTTGGGACATGGGGACATGGAAGCGCAGCTTGAGAAATTGCCTCCGAGCACTTCAGATTGCACTTCAGATTGCAGAGTACTGCCGCATCAGGTTCGCAGTGCGCAGAAGGGTCTCCGAGCCTGGCCCCTCTATGCTTGGCTCCAAGACGAGGCGCAACAGAAAGAGAAGAATCTTGAGAAGGTTCAGCCGGTTCAGCATAGTTGCAGCATGTTGCAACACAAGTTTCGAGATCTCGGAGGTCCCAGCCAGACGAGCATGGCAGCTGGGGCTAAGGGGATTCGGGTCATTCAGGGGTTTAGGGGTGCTTTCGGGAGCTTTTGGGTGCTTTTGGGTGCCTTTGGGTGTCTTGATGTGTCTTGATGTGTCTTGATGTGTCTTGGGTGTTGGATCCCTGGTCCTGCCAGCACGCGACATTGCAGCGGGCAGGTCAAGAACATGTCGGCGGCGCTGCCTCTGGTGAACGTGGGGCCCTCGATCACTTTGGGCCGCACTTTTGGGCGGGCGCGATTTTTGTGGAAGAGTCGACTTTTTGCGGCCGCAGAGACTAGTGATTCCAATGAAGCTGCGCTCACAATGTGCCGTTGCCGCTTGTGCCTTGGGGACCCAAGCCGAAAGTCAGTTGAGTTCAAGCCAAGTTCAATTGCGTTCAATTGCCGTTTGTCTTGAATTTGTTGCGAGTCGTCATGAAAAAGACATCTTCAGAGATTGGCGACTGTGTCGCGTCCCGGCGATCGTAATGTCCAGCCAGGGTTTTTTTCTTTGTCTCCGGACTGAAAGCATTGCGGAGCCGCTGGTGCTTCTGGGCTTCGCTCTTCGACAACAGGAGTTGCAGAAGCTCGCGAAAAATCTACAAATCATACAAATCCCACTCTTCCCTTTTGTTCAACCATGTTGGGTCCCGAGCCCCGTGGAGAAGGCTTTGCTTCCACTTTGCTTCTTCTTCTCTTTCCTTGGCTTCTCAGATCTCGCTCTGTCTCTTTTGTTTGAGGAGCTGCACTCGGACACGATGCGGGACCGGCACTGGGCCTTGCTAATGGCCGTCACCAAGAAGACCTTCGAGAAGGCGAGGGAGAGAGCTGAGAGAGCCGAGAGAGCCGAGAGCACAGTTCTTCAGCGGAGAGAGAGCAGAGGGAGGGGAGGGAGAGAACCAAGAACGAGAGAGTTAGAGAGCAGCCTGCTCTGCAATTTCGCGCAGGGGCCGGAGTTCAGCTTCCGGCACCTCCTGGAGCTGGAGCTGCACCACTTCTCGCCGCTTGCACGCAACCCCTGGGTGGAGGTGTCTCCTTGTCTCAAGGGGGCTTCGGATCTGTTTTCTCGGGGGTTGCCACCATGTTGCGACCATGTTGCCACCATGCGGACAACAATCCCCGAAATGGGGCTTTTTGGAATGCCAGCAGGTGCCAAACATGAAAGATCTCGGTCTGCCCAAGTTACCTCATGGTGAATGCGCATCAATTTTCGTCTCAAGATTCACCGTGCATTTTCATTTTTTGCCAACTCACTCAGTCATGTGCGTCATGCCGTGCAACACGCCATGTTGGAAATGTGCAATACGTACAAGAAAAGTTCTCTCCATGTGGAAAGTATCTGAGATTTCTGGCATCGGTTTCTTCTCTCGCGAACCCCAACATCTCGCCGCATCATTCGATGTCCATGTCCAGGTCCGATGTCTACGACATCGTTGACCAGAGCGTCAAAGAAGCCAAGATCGCGGGGCGCTGAGGGGTCAACACAGTCAACACATGAGTTGTGACTGAGTTGCTTACACTAAAGTGTCTGGCAGTCTGTGCCAAATAGGACAGGGGCCTTCAGCCACTCGACCTTTCGAGGAGGGCAAGCTGGACGGCATCCGCAAGACTTGGTCCAAGATGAGCGTGGACTTCGACAACGGGCGCGAGGAGAGCTGTAAACTGGCCGTAAGCTGCTCCACGCAACAAATTCCCGAATCGAATTTGAGCCAGAGGGCTGTTCATGCGGAGGATTGCCCCTTGCTCGCTGACCTTTCGGAGGTGCAAACAGGGCCGTGAGGAAATTCCCTGGAGCTCTCTTCGGACATGTAAGCTTTTCAACAGGGTTTATGGCAGGATGCATCTGCGGGGACTCTCCGCTGTGTGAGACCATGCATATGCAACGAACATGAGTGGCATCAGGCTACCCATTCTATCTTGCTGTTTCCGATAAGAGGGAGGGAGACTGGTTCACCTTTGAAATGCAGAATAAGATAAGCTTTGGTGAACATGGCAAGCTCTCTAATTACGAGTCAGTGGTCCTCTTTTCTGATTGCTGCTGGCTCGTTTCTTCGAAGAAAAACAGTTGCATAGTATTTGCCTGAAGTCCACTGCGTACTGACGTCGTTCTGCATGACAGCCTTTGTTGTTGTTGTTGTTGTTGGATCTGCTTCGGACCTCATGTTAAGAAAGCCAATTAAGAGAGAAACGCTTCTTTCATTTCCTCTTTCGAACAGGTAGGACTTCCTCACTGTCGCAAAAAAAGGCAGGGGCTGTATTCTATCCTTTGGTAGCAATCGTCTTACAAGAAGACTTCCGTCCTTGCCTTTTGTGAACAAAATGCTGAGCAGAAGAGGCAGAAGCTCTCTTGTTTCTTCTATTGAGCATAGAGCATGAGAACCTCGTGTTGATTCTTTAACAGCAGTGAAACAGTAGTGTGGCTGTGCAATTCAACATATTGTTGGACAACAGTTGTTCCTCACAGTTTACCGTTGATCCTTGCCATGGCAAGACTCAAAACAACGGGAGAACCCGAATCGGAAAATGGTGTTGCGTTGGCTTCGGTGTGGCTTCGGTGCAGAAAGTGAGGTGCTGGAGCGGCTGGAGTCGGACTCCCTGGAGATGCTCTCCATGGCCTCCCAGGCAATGCGAGACGAAAAGTCATCACGAGAGAGACACGAAAGAGAGATGGAGAGAGGGAGAGAAATGTAGAGAAATGGAGAGGGGACATGCAATGACTCTGCAATGATCTGATGGCTGTGACTTTGAGAGGGGCGCTTCATCGAGTTTTGCAAGCCCACGGTGGATGAGTGGAGTGAGAAGCTTCAGACGGTGGACGCGGTCCTGCAGGCAAAGATGGGGGGAGATGGAATCAGATGGAAGAGACGAAGGGGGGAGTGGGACTCTGCCTCTCCCTCTGCGGCTTTCCTCTCTTCACTTGAGGTGTCTTGCTTTCTAGCTGATTCTAGCTGTTGGTGTATTTTGAGAAGGAAGGGCTCTTTTGTCTAATGGTCTGATTGTCTGCTCAGTGTGAGGTCTGGCGGAAGTTCCAGGTGAACTGGTGCCGCTTGGAGCCACTCGGACATGAGGTCGACCACCGCAGGAGTGAAGGGGGGGGGGGGAGGGAAATGTGAGGGCAGGGGGGGAGGGCTATCAAAGCCATCTGCTCTCTTTGTGAGATGCGCACAAAAAAAGCTCGTGCATAGAAGAACCCTGTGGCGGGAGTCCGCGTTGTACGTTGTACATGTTGTGTGTGGAGGAAGTTGTGTACATCAGATTGTGCCCAGGCCCATCTTCATGCAAAGTGATGACATCCGCTCACAGCTTCCTGACGACTCCAAGCGCTTCGAGCTCTTGGACAACAGCTGGAAGGAGCGTGCTCCTGGCGCTCATGTGTCTTTTTCGAGACGATCCTGGGTCCTGGGCCACTGATGTCGGCTTCAGAGCATTGGCACGTGACTTTCAGCAGCTTCCTGTAGCCGCTTCCAGTTTCTTATTTAAGCACCACGGCACCTCGACGTTGACATGAACGCTTGCACATGCTCGCATTGTTCATGACATTCGAACGCTTGCTGGCACTATTGACCATTGATCTCTCCCCCTCGCCACGGCTGTAGCCGCAGGACTTGATGATGGAGGCGGCTTTGCTGTTGTAGGGCCAGGACAGGAAATGCTTGGTGGTGGTGTTTTTTGCTCATTTTGTTTCCGTTTTTTTTTTTTCCGGCCCCGTGGCCTGTAGGCAAGCAAGCAACGCACGCACGCAAGCAAGCAAGCAAGCACGGAAGCTTGGAAGCAAGCAAGCAAGCAACCGAGCGAGCCAGAAAGCAAGCAAGCACGGAAGCAGGCAAGCAAGCAAGCAAGCGAGCAAGCAGGCCAGAAAGCAAGCACGCACGGAAGCATGCAAGCAAGCAAGCGAGCCAGCAAGCAAGCAAGCAAGCAAGCACGGACACAGGCAAGGAAGGAAGGGTGTGAGCATCATGTTGCAAAGCCCAAGAAACTTGTTGAAACCCATCATGTGAGCATTGTTTGCCCCCCCACCCCCCCCGCTTTTTTTAAGCCGTGCAAGGCGTGCTTCAAAGCGTATGAATCTTGCCCCACCCCCCCCCCCCCCCCCCCAAATTTCAGCCGCGCAAAGCGTGCTTCAAAGGCTATGAACCTTGCTGAAGCCCGTCGTGTCAGCATTGTGTTTGCAATGGGGGGGCGGGGGCTGCGCCCTGCCCAACCCCCGCTTTTTTATAAAGCCGTGCAAGCGTGCTTCAAAGCCTAAGAAACTGGTTGAAACCCATCATGTGAGCATTTTGTTTGCAAATGGCGGGGGGGCTGCGCCCCCCCAACCCCGCTTGTTTTGAAGCCGTGCAAGGCGTGCTTCAATTCTTTTGAATGTTGTTGAAACCCATCGTGTGAGCATTGTGGTTGCAATTCCCCCCCCCCCCCCCCCCCCCCCCCCCAACCCCCCCGCTTCTTTTTTTGCCGTGCAAAGTGTGCTTCAAAGCCTGTGAATCTTGTTAAAACCCATCATGTGAGCATTGTGTTTGCAAATGGGGGGAGGGGGGGGGGGGCCTGCGCCACCCCAACCCCCCCGCTTTTTTCAACCGTGCAAAGTTGAAACCCATCGTGTGAGCATTGTGGTTGCAAATGGGGGGGGGGGTTGCGCCCTCCGCTTTATTTTAGCCATGCAAAGCGTGCTTCAAGACCTAGAAATCCTACGAAAAAGTAGTATGAATCCTATCAAAATATTGAGTGAATGTAGCTTTCTCCTAGAGAGGGGGGAAGCCAAGAGGTTCCCAACAAGAAAACTGAAAAAAAAGGGAAAAAAACGGAAAAATATGAGGGAAAAAATCCAAGCCCCTGCTTGGAGCCTTCTCCGTCCAGGCGTCACGCTCATCGTTGATTGTGGAGATATGCATGGCGGAGGGCCGCGCGCAGACTTTGCCCGGAGCCTTGAGCTGTTGATTGTTCAAATCAGTTGAAGTGTAACAAGAAATTTCCAGGGCCGACATTAGCGATGCCCTGGACACCTGCGAGCGCTCGTTGTCGCTCAGCCTTTCGAAGAATGTTTTTGGGTGCGACGTCGGGCTGCGAGCGCGCGACAGAGTTGCTTCCCCCTTTGCTCACATGTCGAGCCTGAGGAACGACTACTTGGAACAGAAGAAGAAATATTTCCCGCGTTTCTACTTCGTCGCCAACGGGGCCTTGCTGGACATCCTCTCCAACGGCAACAAGCCCCTCAAGGTGGGACGCAGGGACGCCAGGGGCAAACAGAGCGAAAACAACAAAGACAACAGGGACAACCTTACGAGTCCAATTCCTGAGTTGAGATTGGTCTGCATGTGGCCACATGTTGACGAAGTCGCTCTGCATAGCGCTGCATCCAACACATGATAGAAAGCAGAGATCGCCGCATGGTCGCAGCTCATTCCAGGTCGAACCTGAATGTTGCGACGGCCTTTGCTTTTCCCGCGTGGTTTCCGCGCCATACCACGACCCCTTGCAAGCACCGCAACGGTATCGTAGCGAACCTGGCAGCTTTCAGTAGCCACCAGGGGCAGGGAAGGGTTACGACTTTAGCTACTGAGAAAGGCGGTCTTGGTGCGGCCCTCCCTTATTCGAGTACTGACGTTGTCGTAACAAGAGAAGCCCTCCGGGAATTGCAGCTGCATTGGGCCTGCCTGGCTGCCGAGGGCGTGCGTTCACGCGCACGTTCACAATTACAGGAAAGCCTCAAAGTCTAATCTTGGGAGCAGCAGAGATTGGAGGAAGAGGCAGAGCACTGGAAGGGTCGATGCCAGTACTTTCACGAGGTAACTGTGCAGGAGGCTACTTTGCTTCAGTTGCCTGTTCATGCCGTTGCTGCAGATCTGGTCAACACTCCCTCGACGCACGTCGAAGTTTGGTTTTGGCAGACGAAGTCATATGTGGCGTGGTGCAGCACCACGCACGGTCATGAGTTCAAGAGGTAATTGGGAGGGCTTCAGGGCGTGTTTTAAGGGGGGGGGGGGCGGGGGCGGAACCCGAAGCGACATTAATGAAGCGTATGCAACAGACATTCCCTGTGATGTTTGTTTCAGGCCTTGTTTCTGAGTTTCGGAAGTTGAATGGGGATGTGCTGTTCGCGCCGAAACAGGTGGCAGAGTACCTGGGCGACGTCTTTGACGGCATTCGCCAATGCCATAGAAGCAGATTCCATCAGATTTCTCTTAGATCCACAGACTTTGGCACTCAGAGCGGAGAACGAATGAACTGAGTGTGCTTTTGTGTCTTTTTGTCTCTTCGTGTCTGCTTTTCTGACGGAGGCACTTTGGACTTCTCGAAAGACCCGCAGTTTGGCCGCATCGCATGCGGTCATCGGGCCAAGGATGGCGAGGTCCGGTCCGATCTCAAACAGCAACTGTAACTACACTGAGTTTACACACGGTTGTTCACAATTTCACCTCGTTCGCTTCCTTTCGCTTTGCTTGCTCTGCTTCGAGTTTGTGGCCTGGCCTTCCGAAAATCCGGGCGTCTTCAGCTTGGAGGTGGAAAGAAGGGATGTGGCAGCATGACGCGCAGTAGGCTTTCGACTGACTGGACTTCTCTGGACTGGAATCTTTTGCAGGGCCCCGTGGAGCAGTACCTTTCTGGCCTCGAATCCCATGTGCGCCTTGCCCTTCGAGAGATCCTCGAGCAGGTGTGCCGGTGTGCCTCTTTCGTGATCGCAGAGTACTAGGAGTAGTACATGAGTAGTACATGAGTAGTACATGAGTAGTACAGAGTTACAGAGTAGTGCTCAGAGTGCTCAGAGTGCTCAGAGTGCTCAGAGCAGTGCCCCGCCCGTTGAGAGGCCAGGACCTCCGCGGAGAGCTGGGAGGTGGGGGACAGGCGCGATATGCAACCGACTGTACGAGCGCCTGTGCCGAGCGCCACGCGCTGTGAATGCCTTTTCATATTTCATATGCCCCCGACCGAATTTTCACATGTGAGGCCTCGCGAGACGTGGCTCCTGAACTCAGCTGTGGGATCGAATTGGCTTCCAATTCTGAATATGGGGCTTAAGCTGGGAGTAGTCCTTGTCTCTTCGAGGCTGGATGAGTTCTGCGCTCAGCTGAGCCTGCTGGCGACGCAGATCATCTGGACGGAGGCGCGAGCCATTGAGCACATGGCCGTGCGCAAGTCGGCAAAGCTCGAAGTTGGGGTGATATTTTGTCTTCGAGCTGGAGAGTTGCTGGTTGCAACTAGTTGCTGGGTTGCCTCAGGAGACGGCCCGGGCATTTGAGGACATGGAGGCCCGTAGCTTTCACATGCGAAAGATTCTGCGCTGCAATTCGCCACAAATTCTCTGCATGTTACAACAGGCAGGGAGTGAGACGGCCATGCGGGACTACAAACGTGCCCCCCGGACGCAGATCATTCCATTTGTGCATCTTCCTTGCAGGGTTCCAGGGGGGAAGGGGACATCTGTATAAATCTCAACAAAAATCATATTTCTCTTTTTCTTCTAGCCATGACATCTCCGCTCCAACTCCGAGAGTGAGATTTTCACCTCCGCCACAAAAAGAAAAGGCTTCAGCGCTTCCCTTCCCTTCACGACACCTTGACCCATGCGGCCCAAAAATGCAAGCAAAGCTTTCGATAATGTGCCTGAACACGAAACCCGGACGTGTTTTCTGGTGCTTGCTGCCGGAGGGGTCCGTGTGCCCCTTGAGAAACAATGGAAAGGAGAAAGTTGATTTAGTTGTTGCTAAGGTGTGCGTGTGCGTGTGTGGGTGTATGGCTTGGGCGGCACAGGCAACATATTGAACCTGGCACACCTCCTTTGAGACGTCCTTCCTGGACGTTCCATTATCAAAAACGACGCCCCTCAAATGAGGTGTAGTCTTGGCTTGGAACGAATTGTTTGTAGCTTGCCTTTTTTGCGGGGACTTTGTGTCGTTGTTGGGAAGCATTTTCGTATGCTCTGCCCGCCAGGTGAATGACGATCGGATCGACAAGCTCATTCGCCGAGTGCAAAAAGAATCAGACAGAGAACTTCGAACAAAGGCTGTCGGGCATCATTGGAATCATGCGGTTCCCTTCAGTTCTGTGGACTCTGCTTTGCAGGTCATCACCATCATTACCATCGATGTCCACTCTAGGGACGTCATCGAGTCGTTCGTGTTGCAGAAAGTCAACGAGGCAAACGACTTCAGGCCCGCAGCAAGAGCAGGGAAACAAGACGCTCCGCTAAGTCTTCAGTTGCCGCAAAGTGCTGGCCGCACTTCCGTCGAGGTGGGGATCCCAACTCCGCTTCTACTGGCAAATGTGTCCTCCAGGCGCTTTCTCGATGGGTGCCTTTTTTGTCTTTTCAGTTTGGCGGGACCACCATATCACCGCTTTGCAGGGCTGAATCTGGTGTCCTTCACTCCAGCCGCAGCCAGAGAGAGAATTTCACAGGACACACCTCAGCTGCCGTGACTGAAGCAGTTTGTCTCACCAAGGCACACCAGAAGACTTGCTTGATTCGAATATGTGATTGGGCCACTTGCTACTCCTACGTTCCCTCGGCGGCAAGCAGCAGAGATTGAATGCTTGAAAGATCTCGCTTTCTCTCCAGATTTATGTGTCGGTTGTTTATGTTATTTGGATTTTGGCGACGTTTGGTGGTATTTGGCAGAGTGCCGCTTCAGCTCCAAGTTGTGAGAGGAGTACGTGGGCAACGTCGGCCGACTGGTCATCACCCCTCTCACGGACCGATGCTCCTCAGTGCTTTCAATAAATGAGACCTTGTGAGCTCTCCATCTGAGGGGTGTGGGATGGGGTTTGGGTGTGTGCTTGAACGCACGAGCACTGCGCCAGCCGAGGCTACATCACCCTGACGCAGGTGCGTGGAGAGCTGTTCAAGTGCTGTGATTTGGCTCTGTACTCGACTTGCGCTGTGCCTGAGTTCCCAGGCCCTGAACCTCTGTCTTGGAGGACTGAACCCGACACACATACAGACACGGACACACACAGACACAGACACAGACACACAGACACACACGGACACACACCAGACACACACAGACACACACAGACACACACACACACACAGACACACACACACACACACAGACACACACACA